TGGTTTTAAAGAGCCACTAACATTTTTTTTATTTTAAATATTTTATTTTTTTATTAAGATTATTAGTATTTGTTCAGAGAGCTGGAGAGCCGCATCTTGGTATCAAAAGAGCCGCATGCGGCTCGCGAGCCGCAGGTTGCCGACCCCTGGTTTAAGACATTGCCATAATTATTGTTTAACTAGCCATCGGTACCCGTTTCACGTGAATTATAGGCCTATATATTTTAAAATGTTGTACTTGTTTGAGAAAAATAATTTATGAAATAGTTATTGGTCAAAACGCAATGTGCTTTACTACACGCTGAACGATAATAGTGACAAAGCAAAGAAATAACTAATTAGCTAAAAATCCGACACATTTAACATAAAACAGGCACACACTGATTAAGTGACTTAAATGATTCTGTTAAAAATCTGGCAATTCAATGGTCATTATGTTGTTTTTAAGTAATTTGTATTAGTTTGACCGATAAAATTGTATATATTTCATGGTGTACGTCTTGATGAGTAGATCTATAGATCTAGATCTAAATCAAATTTGAATGAAGTAGTTCCTTTCTTTATAGTCTAAAATCGGAAGATTCACATATAAAAAAAATATGTTTGTCTTGATGTGTCTCCGTCCCACACCACCAGTGTGGTATCACGTTCACTATCATCTCAGCTATTTAGGAACCTTATAATCATGAAGAATGAAAGACGTATTTAAAAATTAACTTACGCGAATATGCCTATTCTTTCAAATTATTTTTTTATCCCACATTAGCCAGTTTCAAAGCTAAACAAACAAAGATTTCTATTAAATAATTAAGGCCTAAAATAGTTTAATATAGAAATTTATTTTTGGAATAGATTCTAGAGTAGATAGAGTCTAAATCTAGATCTTAGCGACTTAGCGTCTACCAGGGGCGTAGCGAGGGGGGGGGGGGGCGGGGGTGTGGACCGCACCGGGTGACACCATTTAGGGGGGTGACACCAAGGCAAAAAATACAAAATATATGGAGAAAAAGTTTAGGGGGGGGGGGGTGCAAATCGAAAGTTTTAGGGGGGGGGGTGCAAATCGAAAACTTTAAAGTTTGTCCCCGGGAAGGGTCGCTACGCCTCTGGGGGGGGGGGGGTGACACCATTAAGTGCCGCACCGGCTGACACCCGACCTCGCTACGCCACTGGCGTCTACGACTAGTTTTTGCGTAGATTTAGATCTAGTCAAGATCTAGTCTCTACATCAATTATGTGACACCAAAATAAACAAGGCAAAGTGAGTGGTAATAAACCGGGAGTGATCTCCCCTAAACTTTCTCGAATATTTTTATATAAAATAACAGGGGATGGAAACTCGGGCTATAGACATGATTTTTAATCCATTTTAAATAAAGTTTTAAAAATAGAATAAAATCTCGTAGACAAAAGAATTGCACACCAAGTGAACGCTAAATAAAAAAGTGCATAATAGTGCGCAATATTATTAGTACTTTAAAAATTTACATTAGTTTTTTTGAGAAATCGGAAGTAGCGTAAATTACTACTTCCGGTCAACGGAAATGACTCAAAATTTAACAGAAGGTAGAGAATTAGATCTTTTACTTACATGTGAAAGTTCGTTTATCTGTCTGAAAAAAGTACTCAAGTTATAAGCTTTTGGAAATTTCAAAGTAGGAAAAGTACCACTTCCGGTTATCGGATACCGCTCAAAAGTTGATCAGGATCTACGATTTTGATATAATACTTATATATGAAATTGCATCAACCTAGCTGTAACGGTACTCAAGTTATCGTGTTTACACACACACACACACTCACACACAGACACACAGACATACGGAAAAGATTGCAAAATTATGTTCTTCCGTATCAGTGAGATGTAAAACGTCGAGATTTGTAAAAATCTCGATTTTTTTTTTTTGCACGATTACAAGACTTTCTCTATACTTCTTATATACGAGAAAGTAAAAAGGAAGGTGTGGTTGTATTCTCAATATCGCGAATAAATATAGCCCTATATAGGCCTAATTTGAGGGTAGGGCGCAAAATTGATAGTTCGTCCTGGGCGCCGAAATAGATCGCTACTCGTTTGTATATTACCATCCATAGTTTATAAAAGATAATCAAAGTTTTTAATTATTAGGTACTTTTTTGATAATAGCGATTAAACCTTTTTGCGCCCCCCTAGGGAGGGCGCCCTAGACGACCGCCTAGTTCGCCTTATAGGTGGCGCCGGCCCCGTTTACAAGTACAAAGAATAATACTTTTTATTGGATTCCCAGGCTTTGTTTTTAACAGAGGGTGTTTCGGTCTGAATTTTTTGTTTGTTTATTTTCGTGTTTGTGTGAGTGCGTGTGTGTGTGTGTTTGACTTTGATAGAAACAATATTTTGAAAAACTGCCACTTAATGGATATATCGCCGATTATTTTGTTAATCAAACTCTTGCCATTAAATATTTTCGGACCGACTTACATTTTTACAGAATAAAGCGCATTAAAAATTCTTGTCTGCAAGTTAATATAATTGGTATTAAACTCTACGTTAATATATACTGAAGTACTTCAGTCAGACGAAAAAATAAACCTCACTGGGATCTGATAGTCCTGTCACCTCCCCTTGATGGGATCTGATAGTCCGGTGTCACCTCCCCTTGATGGGATCTGATAGTCCGGTGTCACCTCCCCTTGATGGGATCTGATAGTCCGGTGTCACCTCCCCTTGATGGGATCTGATAGTCCGGTGTCACCTCCCCTTGATGGGATCTGATAGTCCGGTGTCACCTCCCCTTGATGGGATCTGATAGTCCGGTGTCACCTCCCCTTGATGGGATCTGATAGTCCGGTGTCACCTCCCCTTGATGGGATCTGATAGTCCGGTGTCACCTCCCCTTGATGGGATCTGATAGTCCGGTGTCACCTCCCCTTGATGGGATCTGATAGTCCGGTGTCACCTCCCCTTGATGGGATCTGATAGTCCGGTGTCACCTCCCCTTGATGGGATCTGATAGTCCGGTGTCACCTCCCCTTGATGGGATCTGATAGTCCGGTGTCACCTCCCCTTGATGGGATCTGATAGTCCGGTGTCACCTCCCCTTGATGGGATCTGATAGTCCGGTGTCACCTCCCCTTGATGGGATCTGATAGTCCGGTGTCACCTCCCCTTGATGGGATCTGATAGTCCGGTGTCACCTCCCCTTGATGGGATCTGATAGTCCGGTGTCACCTCCCCTTGATGGGATCTGATAGTCCGGTGTCACCTCCCCTTGATGGGATCTGATAGTCCGGTGTCACCTCCCCTTGATGGGATCTGATAGTCCGGTATCACCTCCCCTTGATGGGATCTGATAGTCCTGTTACCTCCCTTTGAGAGACGACCCAATATGAATGATTTGGCTGAGGCGCCACGGCAAGGACAGACACACGGACATCTTGTTCTTAACTCCTGTATCAGAAGATGTTAAAACAAGGGTCACGTGATTCAACGGCGTGTGTACTGCATAGATCTACATTCATATCGAGGCGTCTGTTGCTGGATAAAACATGTGCTACAGGTCGCCGACGGTCAAGGTCAAGAGTGATGACCTTGGGTAAGATGATAACAAACGACACATACGAAATTGGAAATACAGTTACACGCTGAAAACGTAGTCACGCATTCAAACGTACGTACGCACAATATAAAAACGCAAACGTACACACGCACAATACTCACATGCAAACGTACGCACGCACAGTACTTACATGCAAACGTACGCGCGCACAAATACACGCATTCAAACGTACACACGCACAATACATGCAAAAGTATACACAAAAATACATATGCAAACGTACTCGTATATATACACAAATGTAAACATACACATAAAAACACACATATGCTAATGTACCCACACAAATGCACTGGCGTATATATGCACACTCACACAGGCCTCAACACACGCCAACAGTAACATAGATTGACGATGACAAAAATTCAAATCAACACACACGAACAAATACAAAAGTATGGACATACACATTCATACAAAAACATCCTCACGCAACACACAATATATAATGACAAACACGTAAATACGTACGCATGCATACGCTTAAATATATAGGTTAACACATACAAATGGGCCTACATACGCATACACATCTCACTTTGTCTAGATAAATTATGACGTCCATAGTTTTATCTCGCGTCTTCGATTGTTACACAATTATTCTAAACTGCTAATAAGACAAACCGTCAAACACTCGATAGATATATTTTTATCTAGTCGTCGGTCACGTGACCATTACCGGTCACTCAGAGAGAGCGACGTAAAGAAATAAAAACTGATCTAAGACTAGAGGCTAAACACAGGGGGTAGGGTGGGGAGAGGGGGGATAAGTCAAGCAGCCCTTTTACAATTATTGCGTTTTAAACTCGTTAACAATTTTTACATAAGCAATTTTATTAAACTGACAAAACCAGTGTTTCTTCCAGACTTTTCTCTCCGGGGTGCACTTGATATTTTCTGGGAGGGGGGGGGGGGCGGTCAATATTTTCCGGGGGGGGGGCGGACACTAGTAAAAGTATATTTTAATATATAAATTCCATCTCGGTCGGGGGGGGGGGGGGGGGGTGGCGGTAGTCTTTCTTCGGAGGGGGGGGGGGGGACAGAGGCCCACCTCCCCCCCCCCCCCGAAGAGTTGCCTGGAAGAAACTCTGGCCGCACCGGGTGACACCCGACCTCGCTACGCCACTGATATTATTATTAAGTATAATAATTTCTTAACTCTAGAGATTCAACAAAATTAATTTTAAAATGTATTACTTTTTCTTACATATTTGTAGGAAAGGTTTTGTGATGAAGATTATAATCCCGTTAACTGCGGTGTTAAAAATCCATGTATAATGTATAATGTAGTATGTAGGCTAGTAAATCTTGTAGGCCTATGCCTTGCCAATGGTAAGGGCGAATGAGCCTGGATTTGACTTGCGAACTTTTAAATAATTTTTAGAGTGACGTCCCATTCCATTCAGGAGAGGTGCCCCGGAAGTAGATTCAGCCGTTTCAACAACAAATCATGATCATGGGGGTAAGACTGCAAAAAATAATTAAATCCATTCGGTAGTGAATATTAATATACTTATGACTAATAGATGTTATTCAAACTATCATTTACCTATTTATTTCAGGTGAACGAAAATATTCAGTACGTTAAGGAAAATTTTGAAAGAAAATATGCAGGTAAGTTTGAGTTGCAGCTTGGTGAAAAGTTGTTTGTGTGGCTTAACACTCAGTTAACTTAACTGACAACTGTTAACTTCACAAACTCTCAAACTGTTGCAGGACGGCCCTGACGAACAGAAATCCCCAGTCTCACCCCTTTTAAAAGATATAGACCATCTGGATACAAGCTAAAATTATTACAAATTCTACCAGGCCTACTAATTAAAATAATTCTGTATTAATTCTATTCATGATTGAATGATTAGCTAGGACTAGATCTAAAATTGAGATGGTGGACTTGCCAAATGCAGCGAGCCTGCACCAATCCCACTACCATTGCTAGTCTACTGTTCTATAATATTGTATGTGTAGGCCTACTTAAAAATGCTGGTGTTTTTGTTATGTCTTTAACTTACTAACTGATGGCCTAGATCTAGATCTATATACGATATCAGATCCAACTATAATTAATACTAGATATGAGCTGTAATGGGTGTTTAGTAAAAGAAACAGTTAGTTTAACTGCATTTTTAAATGTTATTTAAATGTGTCATCATTAAAGCAATTGTAATTGTTTTTTAAATTTCCAGACAATATTGCTAGTGGCATGTATGATGCCCGTGATCTTGAGAAGTTACAGGCAGATCCAGTGTTTGTTCAGACCTACATCAGAGGGAAAGATAGACTAGACGAGGGAGTTGATCTTGTTCATTCATCCCTTAAATTTCGGAAAGAAATCAAGGCAAATGGTGAGATTTTTTTGCCGAGTGAACCTATAAGATGCTGCTCTTTTTCTCCTTTCAGCTCAGTGCTTCACACCATCCTGCCAGTGTTTGTTTGTAAAAGCTGTAAAATTTCTATTGGCCTTACCTCTATGACAGATAGCTAGTAGTGTCACTGGACATTATTTATTGTGTGCTAATTTAAGTTAAAAAAAAATAATACTTAAATTTTTTTTAGTGTTTTTATAAGGAAGTATTTGGCTTTATATATCAATATGCTAGAACGCCAGCTTAAAAATATTTAGTCTATCTGTTAAACAATGTGAAGAAATGTTGCATATTATATATTTATCAACGACTCGCTGTTTCTTGTGCTATGACCTTTTATTAATGCAATACACTTTTGCTTAGATTTGTGTGAAGCGTCTTTTGATCGTGAGTTGTTTGACCTTGGTGCTTTGTACTTTCACAAGAAAGATATCCAAGGAAACAGAATTTGTAAGACATTTTCAAAAATTTAATTTTTTACCTGAACTTTGTAATCTTATTATCAAGTAAAGTGTTTGATGAAAAGAAATAATTGTAGCTAAAAAATGTAAACTTTCTTTTTATGTCCCTCTAGTGTGGCTAAGAGTAAAGCTGCATAGAAAAGATGCCCCGCCAGAAAGAATTGCCATAGAAAAGCAGGGGATGATATATGCAATTGAGAAAGCTTTCAAAGAGAACCCACTTTCAAAGATTGTTGTTCTGTTAGATATGTCAGCATGTGGACTGAGTAATTTGGTAAGCTTTAGAAAGAGATTTCTTTGTGAAATATCTGTGAATTTTTCTTTTTTCTTTTATGTGTCCATATAAAGCAGTAAAGTTAAAGGGAATGAACTGTTTCAACATCTTCATCATGCATATGATGTAGAGTCCACCGGCATGATTTTTAATGGTGTGTTGCTAACACTGGCCCACATGTTCACCACTTCTTGTTATATATCCCAAGATGGCTCAGAGACCTTCAAACACTTTGCCTCACCTCTTTGAGTCCATCCCTTTTTAAGTTGTGATTTTTATGTCTCCATATCAAGCCACTAGCTAGTTGTATCACTGATTGTGATTAAAATTGCAAGATTTTTACACTTGACCTTTTTTCTGCAGGATGTGGACTTTGTCAAATACATAATTACAATTTTTAAATATTACTACCCAACATTTTTAGGTATGTTTTCTTTTCATTTACTAAAATTTAATTTGTTAAAATTTGTTGAGTAAAGGTTTTTTAAAATATTGTTTCTCGTATTATTCTTTTGTTTTTATAGTAGTATTAGCTTAGATTATAAGTCAAGGTCATAACCATGTTAATTTACTTTTTTAGCCTACATGCTCATCTACGACATGCCGTGGATATTCAATGGTGAGCTGAACTCTACCTATGATAATGTATTGACAACTTTATTGTAAACATACTATGTATTTTACTTATTAAAAGGAAATGGGCAAAGTTTAAACGTAGAAATACAAAGTTAAAAATTTGATCTAATTTAGTGAAATGTGTAACAGGTAAAACTATGTTAAACTATTTCATTTTATTGCTTGTGTGTTTTAGCTGCCTGGAAACTGATTAAAGCTTGGCTCAGCCCCGAGGCTGTGGCTAAAATAAAGTTCGTCACTAAAGGGGATGTCCAAACATACATTAAGGCAGAGGATTTACCCCCGTACATGGGAGGGACAGTATGTATTTCTCTTAAATTCTATTTCTCCTAATGCGGTTTATTATTCCATGAGCTTGTGATCTAATTTTATAATTTATTGTTTGTAGTAATCAGTAATGATTAGAAACTGTTATGAGTGAAATAATCAAGTTTTGTTTTGTTTTTAGGATAGTTTTGAGTTTAGTTTTAAGCCAGGGATGGGGGATGAGCCACTGTATCCAGAAGATGTTGACAAAAAAGTTGAGAAGAAGGTAAGTCTTGCTTGTACCATTTGCTTCTTTTTGTCTGTAGAAACTTTTTGTTTTTTGCTCTCAGACATTCAAATAAGGCCTAGTTGGGTTTGTGGATGTTTTCTACAATTTTATTAAAGGTTTAGTTTTCCTTACAGCAATTTAATAAGTAGAGCAGTGGTTCTTAACCTTTTTGGAGGTACTGAAACCCGCCAGTTTCATATGTGCATTTACTGTCCGCACCGACGAAATCCAATCGTGAAGCATATAAGTTGGCTTTGTGTCTTAACTTCGCTAAACCCTTGAGATTGACTTACGGAACCCATGGGGATTGATCAAACTCTGGTTAAGAACCACTGAAGTAGATTATTGTTACCAATGCAACCAGTTAACGAACTCAGTTTTGTTTTAACTGTAACATATTAATGAATAACAAATTTTCTATTGAAAAATGTAATTATTGTATTAACTCTTTAAGCCCGTAATTATTTTCACGTTTTACCGGAATTATTTTTTTTCCCTCATTTTTTTTCAGTACCCCTGCGGCTAAATGACCCATATCTTTTTACCCATTAATTTAAACCCCAAACATTATTTATAAAAATTAATCGTAATTGAATACCCTACACACTGATATACATTTTAAGGAGTTATTTATTTATTGAAGAAAGATAATTACTTAGTTTTAAAGAAGAAAAAATAAAGAGTTGTTTTTTTTTTGTGCAAAAATTACGCTTCTGTCGGGAAAATTAATAATAAGAATAACTTTTCATGAGTTCTTATTTATAGAAAACGAAAGTACGTCCATTTATCTACAAAAATCATGGATCGGATTAGTCTTAGTATAAATACTTTAATTTTCGTTAATTTTATAATGCGGCGACGTAAACGTTTAGACGCGGCCGCTGAACGGCATTCCGCAGTGTTAAAAAATGCCGTTTTTCGAGTTGGTTTACAAAAAAATTCTATAAATTTCGAAAAATGGCCGCTCTAGCGTTATCATGACCTAGATTTACGATTAAACACTTGGATTCCGAAAAACAACGAATTAAATAGAGAAAATTTTATCGGACGCTGGGAGCGTCGTTACGGTATGGCAGGCCGGCAGACCAACCACTGGGAGCGTCGTTACGGTCTTAAAGAGTTAAAGTATTGGTATACCATACTATTAGAATAAATATTTATTAAATAATGAGTAGAGTTTTGTTTTTTTCACTATTCTGATTTTATTTGCACTACAATATAGCAGTAAACTGTACTTTATTTTAAAAAATGTGCTCTGGATTTCCTGTTAGGTCCATTACCTTACTATTCTGATTGTATTTGCACTACAATATAGCAGTCAACTGTACGTTATGTTTACAAAAATGTGCTCTGTTAGGTCCATTTCCTAGAGGTGCAGGAGGGTTTTGTGTCTCCGTCACAATCAGATTTGGAATCGTCTTTGGACTTCAACTCCAACACAGCACCTGCCTTACACAACAGAAACAACAACAATCAGAACAACAGTTCAAACGAGAAAAGGGTATGTTGGCTTTCAAATAATTTATTTTGATTTATGTGCATCAGAAAACAGCAGTGTTTTAATTTCATGAGCTCTAAATTTAAGATGCAAATTTTGTTTTATTTAATATGACCTTAAATTCAAGTAAGTTAAAGATATAAAAAATAAACTGTAGGTATTCTGATATGGCTACTAACACTGAAATTTTTTATTTGTAAATATACATTACCCTTAAGGGTGATACTAGCCCAGCTTCATTATAATTCTTTTTGCAGTCTCAGTGTAATCTTATTGAAAGTGAAGGATCTGCATTGATTATAAGGTTAACCAGCAGGTTTTGTTACGGTGCTGTTTCACACACGCTGACTTGATTTCACTTCTGTTGTCAGTGTGTGTCTTTAGCATCATTCTTGTTTGATCTTTTAAATTTTTATTTTGATATTTGAATTAGAAATGCAAAATGATTCTAGTGTTAGTATTTGACAATGACATGAGTGAGAAAAAATGCATAACTCACCTTTTATTGAAACAAGAAATTTAAAAATTATTTTTTTATAAATATGGAGACAAGAATTTTAACTGCAATTTTTAAAAAAAAACACTGTTATTAGTTTTGCAAATAGAACCACTTTGCATTTTGATTTATTCACAAAAATGTTCAATTTTGTTTTGATTGTTATGTTTTAACAGCGTTCATTAATTCTGGGGAGATCTCAGTCTTTTACAACCTCTAGTTCCTTTGTTGGTCGTTTCTTGACTATCAGGTTTGTTTTTATTTACAAATCTTTATTTTTATGGTGCTTTACTCTCTAAAACACTTATGAAATTTAACTGTAAAAATGTTTAAAGTTTTTTTTTCACTTTTGATAAAACCAATTTTGATAAAATTAGATTGGGCATAGTGTAAGTAAAGATCTGGCGTAATTTTGGTTGTTTTTTTTTTTGACATACATTTTTTTTTTACATTTCCTTAAAATATGTATGGTGTTGAAAATGTTTTGCCAGAGGCGAGCGCACCGGGTGATACCACTATGTCCTGACCTTGTATAATTGACCTGATGCAATTTTAAAAACTACTTTATGCTCACAATATACTCATCTGTTCCTTAACTGACAAAAAAAAGCTTTTTACATGTTGTGCAAAGATTGTCTCTAAGATCAAATAGTACTCTGTCAAAAAAATAATAATTTAAAAGATTTTAATTCAAAGCTTCAGAAATTAAATCATGTATTATTTGGGGAATTTTAATACCAGTGTCCGATAATAGAATCTTCTTTAAAAAGTGTGTGTAAGCTTACTGGTTAAGTTAACTAAAATACTCACATGGCTTGCTAATGTCAATGCTAACCCTATCCCTAGCCCCAGCTGTACTCCCACAATACACCTAACCCTAATTTTGAACCATAAAACTAGTTGATATTACAATACTACTAATACTAACAACCTAACCCACCTATTTTTGGAAGAGTCTTTTATCGGACAGTATCTAAAATCATCCATATTTTTTTTGTTAGCTGTGAACAACTTGCTCAACCAACAATGATAAAAATGTGTGTAGGCTTATGATGTTGAACAAGAAATTTGTATAAGAGTTATACCCTTTATATTTCAGTCCAGCTGACGAGCTTGCTTTTCAAGTGGCTGACAATGGAGAATCCTTCGATATCATCACTTTAACTAATACCTTACCAACCCAAGTTGCTTTCAAAGTAAGTCAGTCACAAAACTTTTGTTGTCTTTTGTTTGTTTTGGCATAGTGCTAATCACACTATTCCTTTATATGCCATGGTCACAGATGCAGGTGAACTCTACTTCATTTATCCTATTGACTGTCAGGCTCAAAAGAGTAGCTAAACTTTTTACTTGGATTATGTATACTTAATATCTGCTTATTATTCTTTCACTTAACAAAGCTTCATATTTCACAATTAATTGTTAATCAAATTTATACTTTTACTGTCTCTAGTGCATTAGTTATTTCTAAATCATTGGTGCATGTGAAACTCTGTTTTGTGTTTAGAAATGTGCTTTATTTAGAAGTGATATATTAAATATATATTTTAAAATTACTTCCCATTTAAACTTGCAGGTAAAAACAACAGCTCCTGAAAAATTCAGAGTGCGGCCCAGTTCTGGAATCATCCGACCAGACAAAACAGAAGAGATCTATGTCTACCTTGTTCCAGGTACTAATTAGCTCTAAAATAATTAACATTTTAAATTTCTTGAATTAGCTCATTTACCAACTAAAAGAAACAAACACACTTTTTAAGTTTTTATTTATTAGTAAATATTTATGTTGTAATTTTTTTTTTTAAATGTTCACTCTTTTTTGAGTAAAAACCAAAGACACGTTATGTTTCTATATTCTGTAGAAAATTTTCAGCTAATGCATTTATCAAAAAAAAAAAATCAGAATTTGTAACTGACGTTTTTATATATTAAAAAATAACTTAACAGATTTTAAAGATTTTTATTCATGTTTATTCAATTTACCTTTTAATAACTTTTTTTTGTAAGATGTTCTAACTGTTGGATACAAACATAGCTTTTTTTTTAAAAACTTCAGATGTTCGAGCAGACATCGGTAAAGACAAGTTTTTGGTCATGGCTATGGAAACCACTACAGGGACAGACCCAGCCACGCTGTTCAAGGATGCCTCCAGGGATAAAATCATGCAACACAAGTAAGCTATACTAAGACGTTGGGAATGTACCTGTTTTCATGGCAAAAGCCAGTCAGTGTTTTCAACTCTGGCTATTTGAGATATAGATTAAAAGTATTTGAAAAGTGGGTGTAGTATGTTGATTTTGGGATTTTTTAAATTATTTTTATGAATGCTATCATAAATGGTGGATTAATTTTTGAAAAGCCTAAGTTATTTAACATTTTTTTTAATAAAATGGTAATTTTAATAAGTAAAACCTCATTTCAAATTGCATTTTTATGACTTTAAATTAAAATGTCAAAGCTTTAGATTCTTGGTCAGATTCTTAATTTGTTTTTCCATTGAAATTATTTTTAATTTGTTGAGGCTAAATAATTAATGCATAAATGAAACCAAGTTTTCTTAGCATGTTCAATTTCTGTTAGAAAAATATCCTATTTTTATTTTGAGTAGATGATCTTCTGCTTTGGAAGTCATATTTACTATGTTTACACTTCCCCCATCCCCCAAATTTTTTATAAGTTACAAAAGGTCTATCTCTCCCCTCCTCCTCCTAGAGAAAGATGATGTCAATGGTCCAATCTTTTCTATCTCCCCAGCCATTTAACAAAAGCGTTTCATCACTATTCCCTTCAAACAATACAAAATATAGAATACACCAGATTTTCAGAATCTCTTTTCCTGCTAGGAACAATAGCCCAACCTTTCGTTGGAGTATGACATAGTGTATGGGCTACCCCTTAGAAATGTGATATGTGTGATAGTATTTCTCTTTGACCCCAGGTTAAAATGTGCCCCTGGTGTTAAAACCTGCGACCTACGCTTGTATTTCTCTTTGACCCCAGGTTAAAATGTGCCCCTGGTGTTAAAACCTGCCACCTAAGCTTGTATTTCTCTTTGATCACAGGTTAAAGTGTGCCCCTGGTGTTAAAACCTGCCACCTAAGCTTGTATTTCTCTTTGATCACAGGTTAAAATGAGCCCCTGTTGTTAAAACCTGCCACCTAAGCTTGTATTTCTCTTTGACCCCAGGTTAAAATGTGCCCCTGGTGTTAAAACCTGCCACCTAAGCTTGTATTTCTCTTTGATCACAGGTTAAAGTGTGCCCCTGGTGTTAAAACCTGCCACCTAAGCTTGTATTTCTCTTTGACCCCAGGTTAAAATGTGCCCCTGGTGTTAAAACCTGCCACCTAAGCTTGTATTTCTCTTTGACCCCAGGTTAAAATGTGCCCCTGGTGTTAAAACCTGCCACCTAAGCTTGTATTTCTCTTTGACCCCAGGTTAAAATGTGCCCCTGGTGTTAAAACCTGCCACCTAAGCTTGTATTTCTCTTTGATCACAGGTTAAAATGAGCCCCTGTTGTTAAAACCTGCCACCTAAGCTTGTATTTCTCTTTGACCCCAGGTTAAAATGTGCCCCTGGTGTTAAAACCTGCCACCTAAGCTTGTATTTCTCTTTGATCACAGGTTAAAATGAGCCCCTGTTGTTAAAACCTGCCACCTAAGCTTGTATTTCTCTTTGACCCCAGGTTAAAATGTGCCCCTGGTGTTAAAACCTGCCACCTAAGCTTGTATTTCTCTTTGACCCCAGGTTAAAATGTGCCCCTGAGGTAGTCAGAGCTACAGAAAGCAAAAAGGGAATCAGCTACCTACAAGAAACACCCAGCACTCTGGCAGGCAAGGTGAGATAACTCTTATGTAACTTATAATTTGGGATAGCATTGCACTGGGAGATTTAACTTTAAATTGTATTTATGTTGCTCTCTGCATAGCTGCCTGAGACTAGATTTTGTTTGCTTAGGTTGTGGTATAATGAGCTATTCTTTTGAAATGAAACTTCATTTCTGATCAGAAAGACAAGTATGCTTATGTTAGGCTTTAAGATGTGACTTTTCAAACTGTTGCCGTACCAATATGTTGATATAAAAAAAATAATCAAGGTGTTTATGTTGTTGTACTTAGCACCAATTGATTCTCTCACACATGGACCATAGTGTTTAGTTTATTCTACAATAGGCATGTAGGCCTGTTGTATAAATTGTGCAAACTTACTTAGACTTTTGGCTGTCCTGCTAAAAACAATTTACATAATTTTTGCTTAGTTTCAAGACTTTAGTTTTATGTACTGTGCTGAGCTATTTTAAGTTAGACAGTCAAGATAAGGGTTTACGTTTTATTGTTCTACATCTTGAGTGAGGTGAAAGACTTTAGTTTATTTACTGTGCTGAGCTATTTTAAGTTAGACAGTCAAGATAAGGGTTTACGTTTTATTGTTCTACATCTTGATTGAGGTGAAAGACTTTAATTTTATGTACTATGCTGAGCTATTTTAAGTTAGACAGTCAAGATAAGGGTTTAAGTTTTAGGGTTCTACATATATTATGTTTAGGTCCCAAACTTTGTGAGGTAAGTTTATTCCATGTGGTGAGCTCTTTACAAAGAAAGGTATTACACTATTAATTATAACCATTCAGTATCAACCATTTAGGTAGATTCTCTTGGCATTCTTTTTTTAAAAATCACTTTAATCAGCTAATCATCTTTTTTTTTTCAAATTTATTATCTATATTTAAAATTATTTTTAATTATGATCCATAAATGGATTGTTTATCTTAGCTAACTCTGCATCATTTACTAACATGGTTTAAACAGCTGAGATCTAGCATATCTCTCCCTATATTGGGCAAATTACTGCATATTTAAAAGTAATACAGGGGTCGGCGTGGTCGAGTCGGTAAAGCTCATGGTTGCTGAACCAAAAAGTCTCGAGTTCGAACCCCCGGGCAGATGAGGCTCGTTAGCTGGGGACAACCACTCTTCTAGGAGAGACAACTCTAAAATTAAAACAACTGCTGCCTTGTAGTATGTTCTTTGTTGGACAAAGGCTATGGAAGCAAATCCAAAAAGAAAAGCAGGCTGAAATTGGAGTCAATGGCCTCAACGGAGCATAACCAGTTGACACGTATCCTAATTGTGATGGAGGCGTGGTTGAGTCTGCAAAAGCTCGATCCCTTCCAACACTAAAAATTAAGAACAAAGAAGAAGAAAAGTATTCCAAATTAAATATATTAGAACATGAAAAAGAAGTTGTGAATAACTAGTTGTTTTTTCAGTATGTAAGAAATTGTGCTTGGAGTTGTTAAGCCTGATAAATTTTGTCCTGTCACCCATTTCATATTTACATGAAGGTGTTTCCGTACACAAGTATTTAGAATCTTTCAGTTTTCTTTAGATATCCCCTCACTTACAAACACCACACACACATAAAAACTAGTCTTATTGGACAAAGCTGCCAGCCTAATACAATACAGCAATAAGCCAGTCAGGAACTACAAACTCACAAAGGTGCAGATCAAATGTTCCATTTTGTTTAAGTTTTCCTCCCATTCCCATACACCCCAGGATAAGAAAAAACCAGCTCCTTTAGGGCAAACCTCTGCCAGCCAGAGATTTATTAACGTCCCATTCCCATACACCCCAGGATAAGAAAAAACCAGCTCCTTTAGGACAAACCTCTGCCAGCCAGAGATTTATTAACGTCCCATTCCCATACACCCCAGGATAAGAAAAAACCAGCTCCTTTAGGACAAACCTCTGCCAGCCAGAGATTTATTAACGTCCCATTCACATACACCCCAGGATAAGAAAAAACCAGCTCCTTTAGGGCAAACCTCTACCAGCCAGAGATTTATTAACGAGCCAGCCATGGCATCCTCTGTGGATGGGGGATTTAATGAAGGTAACCTTCAGGCTAAAAGGTCTGGCAAAGGTGATGCTGAAGAGATGGACAAACAGGTATAGAGTTGACAGGTTGATTCTGCTGAAATGTTGCGCTGGATTCTTTGTTCAAACTATTCACTTGTTGTTTTTTTTCAATTGTATTACTTTTGTATTAAAATGAATTTTTTTAAATCTTTGAAGTAGTTTGGATTTAAATAAAACCTAAGATTAAAGATAAATATTTTGCATATCTTCTGCTTTTTTTTTTAACACCAAATTATTTTTAATACATCCTCTCAATTAATGTAGTTTTTTTTAACATTTCTACTTATGCTAAAACTAATTTATCCCATCTCAAATTATAACACTATAAATCTTACCTTCATTACTACAACTTGTCATTTAACTTTTTATTCAAATGATTGAAAATACATCTAATTATTTGCTAAATTTCTCAGACTCAAAATTTCTATCAAAGTTTCAAAATAATGCTGTCAATAAAAATAAGGGTCTATGCATTTAAAATGTCCACATGCCACATAAATAATATGGCCAGATTTCTTTTGTTGTTGTCAGGTAGAACAGCTGGAGAACCAAACACGGTACTTGCAGAAACAGGTGAACTTTCTAATCTGCATACAAGCTTTCACAGGCATTGTCCTGATTGTTGTCATGCTGGCCTACTCTTGCTTCGGAGAGGATCTCTTCACCCAGTTTCTGGCCCTCCCGTTTGATTTTTGCAATGATCCTTATGGACGCAAGTGTTGACCCTGAGCTGCTAAACTTTTTTATGGTAACTATTTTTGTTTATACTTTTTTATATAGCTGTGTAAGTGTAAAGCTGAATATTTAAAGATTATTTGGAACTTTTTGTAACAAACTTTTTATATTGACAATATTATCGATGAGTTTAATAATATACATTCTGTAACTTTTTTGCTATTTTATGAATATTGTACAAAAGATGAACATGAATACAATTTTAGCGAGGTAGCTTGACTATATATTAATTAGATGACAATTTAAATTGAGTCAAATAATTTTTTTCCAGGAAAATTTCTGCTGTTGAAATAATTTTGGTGGTCCACCATTTGACTATATATTAATTAGATGACAATTTTAATTGAGTCAAATACATTTTTTTTTTCAGAAAAATTTCTGCTGTTGAAATAATTTTGGTGGTCCAACATTTGACTATATATTAATTAGATGACAATTTAAATTGAGTCAAACAATTATTTTCCAGGAAAATTTCTGCTGTTGAAATAATTTTGGTGGTCCAACATTTGACTATATATTAATTAGATGACAATTTAAATTGAGTCAAACAATTATTTTCCAGGAAAATTTCTGCTGTTGAAATAATTTTGGTGGTCCAACATTTGACCTGATGTTGCTCAGTGCGTGGCTGTCATTGACAGGGACCTGACAGATAGATGAGACCAGTTCAGCGAGGATGAAACCACCCAGTTCATTCCACATTTTTGTTGCCAATCTTCAGTCGTGGCATGACTTGTTGTAGTCTTAGTACAACTCAACATAGTCTTAATATAACTGTCTTGTGTCCCCCACCCTTCATTAGTTTAATGCCCATCCATGTCACTCCTTGTAATGCATCCACCCAGTCATGCGTTAACTTTTCTCAAATGCTGCTCCCTGTCCAAACAAATGTTGATTAATGCACCTTGTTGTTTTTTGAGCCATGTACTAGCATCAGAGTGTTCTTGCATATTATGACATTTTTTTATGGTCCATTTGTTGAACATATCTATTATAAACATTTTTTTTTTTTAAATCCTGATGTTTTAAGTGAACATGCCAGATTAGCTGAGCTTAGCTTTTAGTTGAGTACATACAAGAACCCTTGTGGCTGCTACATTCTTGCCTTCTTTTTAATTATTGGTCATATTGACTTTTTATTTTTATATACCTAAACTTTTATATAAAAGAATAGTCTAGTAATAAAAAAACATATAAATGTCACTATTTTAACATCTAATTTTTTTAGGTATATTTATTTTTATTTTTTTAATAAAATGAACTAAAGTCCTGTCATCTATTGCTCTATTCCAAAACTTTAAATGAGAATAGCAACCATCCATTAGGGGTTTGTTTTTTTGTTTTTCCAGATTTAAAAAAAATTGGTTTTGGTATTTTGTTTATTATATTATAGAATTTATTCACATATTTAACTTCAAGCACAAAAATATCAATTTCACAACTATTAAAGTTTATCTAGACCCTATGTTGTAATTGTTTTATCTGTACTTTCTCATACTATTATGTTTGACTTAATTCTTTATTTCTATCAAAAGTTGACATTAAGCAGCAAAATTTTTATCCATCAAACAAACTTGCCAGTTAAGAAACATCACTTTGTTGAAACTTTGAATGTCTGTTCAAAAACTACCAATTTTACAATAATGCAAAATGTGTTTTTATATTCAGTAGAGATATTTAATATTTAAAATGAGATTTGAAATATAATTTATACATTGAATACAGTATTTCTAAATAACTAAGAGTTTTTTCTTTCTTTGTTTTGCTTAATAAACTTCAGTTTGCTGTTGAATTTTTATTTATTTTATTCATTTCTATGACAGATGTTTAATTGACTGTGATTTTGTTTTTATTTCACTTTCTTTTAAAACAATTTTATTTATTTTTTGAAAATTTGAACAATGATGATGTTATTGAAGCAATATTTTTAATTTTCACATATTTAAATTGTAAGCATGTGTTTTATATTTGTAAGTTCAAATATTTCCATAGCTTATTTCTTGAACCAGGACCAGTTGTTGAAATTATTTAACTCAGGTTCTCATAGTTTTTAAAGGAAAAACAAAATTCTGTTTAAGTTGAAGGTTAATTGTATATGCTTTTACAATGAAAATCATTTGTCCGTTGTTTCAGTCACTAAAAGTATTGTTTTACTGTATTTAGGTTGAATTGTTGCTAGAAAAAAATATGGTTCCCAGAAAACGGCGCAAACAGAAAAATGCGTAAATACAAACCAATTATACTAATACGTTTAAAATTTGTCATATTTCATGGAAATATGTTTTATCATGTTAATGTCTATAAATGCTTGATTTAATTAAGGAAACAAAAAGTGCCCTTGCATACTTTTTTGTGTGCAGTTTTCAGTTGTGCATTATTTCATATGAATTTTTTAGTGATCTCCATTTTTAAGCATCTTCTGTTTTGGGGGAAAACAATAGAAATAAATTAAGATTTGTTCCATGAAAAGTTAGTCAAACTTTTTGTTCTTTTCACAGCTCCTTTTGCTACATGGGATAGTGATGTAGGTTGTTTTATATATTTGTATTTACAGTGGAGTGTCTACAATTTAGATAACGACAACTCTTTCTGTACTCAAGTGTCTGTTGTAATTGACATTCCACATTCTGTATGGCTTATACACGTATAGAGTGCTATAATTAAGTTAAAATTAACTGTTGACAATAAGTGAAAATAAATTCTAGTTGTTTGTTGTACATATTAAATGTTCACCTTAAATTCTTGCTTCAAGTCTTTCAATTTTCAAAATGAAAATATTTAATTTTTTTTATGCTGATAAACTATTTAAAAAGATGAAAGGTTTGTCTTGCTAAAATGTACTTTTTTTTACATAGAAGATATTTTTATTTAGGAAATTCAATACTAAAAGTTGTCTGTTGGCTATTTTCTGTTGCTTGGTGATGAAGTGTTTATGTGTTGAGCATTGTGATTGTGTTCAATGTGTTGAGCAATGTGATTGTGTTCAATGTGTTGAGCATTGTGATTGTATTCAATGTGTTGAGCAATGTGATTGTGTTCAATGTGTTGAGCAATGTGATTGTATTCAGATGAAATGTTTGAGACTACATCAACTTATAATATTGATGACAAGTGCAATTATTATCTATACAAATAGATACATATTTCATACATAAATATTGAATTGATATGTTTTGTAGTTAACATTAAGCTTACTTTCCTGTACTGATTTGTCAGGATCTTGTTTGAAGCTCAGCTAGTTTTAAGTTGTCTCCATTTTTTACAAACCCCTCAGTTAATTATCACTTACATAATGATTTTTTTTAGTATTGTACATATATACTCCTCTTGCAGTGATTAATATATACTACTTTCTTTTATTATAATTGGTCAAACTAGGAAATATTGCACACATACTATAACAAAAAGTTTAAAGTTTTTTATGGGTTTTTGTTTAAAAATTCTTTTTTTTTTTAATTCGCTTTCAGCTTTTAATGAATTGATAGATACAGCTGTAGGTATATGTTATTAGCACACCAGTTTTGCTTTTTAAAAAAAAGCAATAAAGAATAAGTTAAATAAATTATCTATTTTCTTTTTCATCCACAATGTTGATTCTAAGAAAGATATAAACCTAACAGTTACTATAAAGTTAATGTTTCAGTATTTTAATACATTTAATTACCATCAAAATAAAACATTTTCTTTTTTTTTTAATCATTGAAACTTTGAATAAATGCATCTTGTAACTGGTCTTAAATAAATAACTGATTTTTTTATTTAAAAATTTACCTTTTATTAAATCTACATACTTCATAGTATGACTGTGAGTTTGGTGCTAAAGCAAACTTATAAACACTCTTGAAGAATTCAAAGTCAATAAAAAGTGTAAAAACTATTAATCAAACATCAACTCAGTATTAATAATGTATTTTGCATTTGCATCATTAAGTATTGTCACATCAAAATCATTCTTTTTAACACTGGACAGTAAACACAATGAAGAGATTAAAATAAATAACAAAAATGAGCACTCAAAATTAATTTGGTAACTATTTAATATTATGAATTAACTAGTTTATTGGCTGTTTTTTTTTTTTTTTTTTTTGTAACCTTTTATTTTTGCTAATTTTGTTTTGTGCCCTCAAAATCTGTTTTTATACTGTATATTTACAACTTTGGTTTGACATGTTCTTTGTTGTCTATATGTCATGTGATGTATCCTGCTAGTGGTTGAATACAATGTTTTTCTGTCAGATTCATATTTTCAGAAGAATTCTTCAACAGGTTATGGACAAATTTTTTTTTTTATTTACAGGAGAACTTAAAAAATTATCAATAAAATTTGTTGAAATACACCTTAGATTTCTAGCCTCTGTATTATTTTTTGTGTGGGAAAGTAGGATTTATTTCTTGTTATGAAGGGATAGTGTGGTGAGCACTATATGCCCAGCCACCTTTACTTTCTGTCATGTAAGTCAGGTACCCATCAGAGCTGAGTAGACTCAGGGACATTGTGCAGACTGGAACCCAGATTTGAACTTGAAACGGGGTCGGCGTGATGGAGTCGGTAAAGCTCATGGTTGCTAAACCGAAAAGTCTCGAGTTCGAACCCTCGGGCAGATGAGGCTCGTTAGCTGGGGACAGCCACTCTTCTAGGAGAGACAACTCTAAAATCAAACACCTGCTGCCTTGTAGTTTGTTTTTGGTTGGACAAAGGCTATGGAAGCAAATCCAAAAAGAAAAGCAGGCTGAAATTGGACTCAATGGCGCATAACCAGTTGACAGTTAATCCTTAATTGTGATGGAAGCATGGTCGAGTTGGCAAAGCTCATGGTTGATAAATTTGAAAAAAGTCTCGAGTTCAAACCCTCTGGCAGATAAGGCTCAATCCCTCCCAACACTAAAAATTAAGAACGAAGAAGAAGAACTTGAAACTTTCAGGTGTGCTCTACCATTTGACCATGCCATCCTATAACAACAATATCTACTGTATTTACAAAGACTAAGGATAACTTTCTCCTAAAAGTTAATTAGCAGGTTTTTTAAGTGGGCTCCTCACCTGACCAGGTGTTCTACATAGTCTACGGCTGGCTAGAAATTATCTGGGCTCGTCAATTTTATCTGTAAGTTTCCAGTTTGATTCCCAGATCAGGTCTATTTTACCTGAGACCACCAAGCATTTGGAATTTTTTTTTTTAATCATAGTGTTACATTATGAGAAAAAATTAACTCTACTTTATCTGGCTATACATACTTGTTTTAAAATCTGTCCCATCTAACGTGTTATGGAAGGTAAAGGTGGCTGGGCAAAGTGCTGACCACATTATCCCATTATATGCCAAGGTCAAGAAACATGAACTCTACTTCATCTGCCCAATGGATTCTTTACTTATATGTATATATATATGTGTGTGTGTATAAATAAATAAATATATACATAAATATATATGTATACATATATATTTATTTATATACATATATATATATACATATAGATATATACATATATATATATAATGTATATATATATATATATATATATATATATATATATATATATATATATATATATATATATATATATATATATATATATATATATATATATATATATATATACATTATATATATATGTGTATATCTATATGTATATATCTATATATTATATATATATATTATATATATATATATATATATATATATATATATATATATATATATATATATATATATATATATATATATATATATATAAAGAGGATACATTTCCACTAGAGCTTTCAACACTGAATAATTATCATTCTCATTTCCCACACTAAGCATCTTATGTTTATAGAATAGCTAAATACTTTGGTTAACATATAATTCAGATTGTGAAAGCCAGACTAATAGATTACAAGTTTACATATGGAAACAAAATATTATATATATTAGGATGACAAATATAACTTCAGCACTAAGCCATTTCTAAAGGTAGGAGCTCTTGATTGTTAACTTGTTAAACAACGATCAATAATTATGTGTCTTAGATATTAGATTTGTAGACAAAAACTTAATACATGTTTTTTTAGTTTTGTAGAATTATTTTATTTCAACTCCAGCAATACATGTTCTACAGTGGTTAACATTGTATATAAATCATCTAATTCCTTTCAATAATAAATAGTTTTATACTAATGTGTCCAAGAATAATAATTTAAAAAAAAAAAATAGAAACAAATTTCAACGTGCAAGCAAACAAATTTTTGAATTAATAAAACTTTTGGCGAGGTTCAATTTTGCATGTATCACAAGCAGAAATGTCTAAATACAACACAGGGTAGTCTGCATATTAGGAAGATTATAGATTTACAAATAAATAGATTTACAATTGATAACATGTCAAGCAATGCTCAAAGTTAGTGAATATAATATCAGTGTGTGGCTCACTAGCTAGTTTTAGACGACCAATATATTGTGTTTGCGTATCTGTTTCTGGAAGTCATTTTAACATATTGATAGGGGGAAAGAAGAAAAAATACTTATCTCTATTCTTAATAAGACAATTTTCAAATTAAAATAAAAGCATTGTGCAACTTTATTAAATAAAAATGCCGAATGAAAATATAGTTTAACAATGTTGATTTTTATAAAGAAAATAGAGCTTATTTAAAATATGTATTAAAACATTTGGCGAACTATCAGCAAAAGTTCTAATGAAAATTTTGTTTAAAAGAATGTGATGACCAACTGGACAACATTTGAAAGACAGATGTAATCTAAGAAAGATGTTTAAAAAAAAGAAAATATTCTTTCTTAAATTGCTCATTTGATTATTTTAACAGATCTGTGTGTTACTTCCATGTTTGAACTTTTATTCAAATAGGCAAATCCTAGATACTCTTAACTCAATTATGAATAGCTTTTATCACATCTGAATTGCATAATTACATTTTTTAATAAACAATGTTATACATGTTTTTTTTTAATTGAAATATATTTCAAGAGTTTAATTTTATATTGGATTAATTTAATTCTCATCAGCATAGTTTGTTGAAAAGAATTCTTTTTAATCATTTAGTGTGCCTTTAATTTTTTATTTCTGAGTTTTCAATTAGGATATTTAAACTTATCTTTAAAAAAAAATTAGCAATTTTTATTTGAACGTTAACTAGCATAATTTTCATTGCGTAATGAATTATATAGCTCTTCTGCAATTACAAGAAAATGATGCGGATATAGAAATGAATTATTAAAAAAAATATATTATCCTGTTATTTTAAATAAATAATATACAAAAATAAGACAATTGTCATTTCTTTTTTAAATAAATATTTTGAAACAATATTATTGAAAAAAAATTTTAAAGTATAAAAATAACAAAAGATTAAAATACCCTTCAGTCAATGGGGCAGTTAAAAGCTCATATTTTGGTTCCTTCAACTTATCAACTCTAAACAATGGATGCAAAGAAGACAATTTATTCACACATGTAGATTTAGATAAAAGTGACAGCTAAGTAATAGTTGTTAACTATTCGGAACTTTTCGAGCATCTTAGTTTACTCATCCTGCACAGTATTGTAAACGTTTTTTTAATTCAAAGTATACGTTAATTCAATTGTTTAGAGAACATTGATAAATAAAAACAAAATCACCTACTATCATTTCATTTAATATTACATTCACATGCAGAAAAATTTGAAAATATTATATTCCTAGCTAGTATAAAATAGCACCTAAAAAGATAAGAACAAGATTGTAGTTTTTTGAACACATACAGTAAGACATATCTCCAATACAAACATACGGACATATACGTATTTGCACAATTCACATGCGCATTCATATATGTTACCTACTAATTCTACAAAACTATTTATTGGGTAGAAATATTGTGGTGTGTGTATCTATTTAGATATGTTTAAAAAAAACTTATCATTTATGATGAATATATGATGTTATACAGCATATCATACAGCTTTTATTATTTTGTAAACAATATTGATATAATGGAATAGATAAAACTTAAGTGTTTAAAATTTTTGTAATGTTAAGATTCCATGTATACATTTCTGGGTAAGGAACATTCATACATTTCATAAACAAATATTAAAATATTACAATCAGTTTTACATTGGTAAAAATCTGTATAAAAATATTGGAATATAAAAAAACATGGTGGTTTATGGTACAACAACAAATGGAATAATTCACATTGAGACGTGTGTCAGGCATTTAAACATTTATAAATCAATTATAGGATAGTAAAGTAGGTAGTTATGATTTAAATAATGGAAGTAGTTAGTTATGATTCAAATAATGAACAGCAGTGAAATGAAGTAGGTGAATAATCCCACAAATGGGCAGTATTAGTCCTGTAGAGGGCAGTAGTAGTCCTACAGAGGGCAGTAGTAGTCCTATAGAGGGCAGTAGTAGTCCTATAGAGGGCTGTAGTAGTCCTATAGAGGGCAGTAGTAGTCCTATAGAGGACAGTATCAGTCTTGTAGAGGGCAACAGTAGTCCCATAGAGGGAAGTACACCACTAATGGCTACAAAATTTCACCTTTAATGCTGAGATGTGTTACCATAGCTCAGGCCAACAAACAAAAGAACAATGGAAACTGAATTTTGTTTACATTTTTGTTTTTAATTTAAAATGTTTAACATAGCTTTAAAGTTGTTTTTTTTAAAAATTACACATTTCTTGTATTCTGAAAAAATGTAGTTAACATTTTATATCTTCTGTTAGGTTTATTAAAAGAAAAATATTTTTAACTTTCTTGAATAGGGTACCTTATATTATTTACTCAGGCTGTTTCTTTATGGTTAATTGTAAAACAAGCATTACAGAGTAATCTAGGAAACAATTAGACATTATAAAAATAACATAAAATCCAACATAATTTATTACATATCCATCTAGTAGCATAATTTTAGGTTATAAAATTATTTTCAGTTTATATACAAAATACATAGACATAGGGTATATATTTGTTATTTTTTATTAAAAAAACAGCCAATAATTTACTTCTGTAATTGTTTTAAAAAGCCAAAACAAAACTAATGATAATTTAGAAAAATAAAAAAGTGAAGATTTCTTATGAAAACTATCTGCACTGTTTAATGAAATGACTCAACAGCTCCTAGTGTGAATGAAAACGTGTATTGTTTTGGTATTGTTATATATTGTATCATATGATAGACATAGTATAAAGTATCATTCTTGTTTACTTTTTACAGGCAATTCAAATTTATTAACATAGTTTAACAAATTCAAATATATGAACATAGTTTAATGAATTAAAATTTATGAACATAGTTTAATGAATTCAAATTTATGAACATAGTTGATGAATTTAATAAATATTGTCAGCAAAATGTTCACAAAATTAAGTCATGTTATACAACATTATTATTTAAACCTCTTTCACCTCATCATTTTCAGTGTAAGACTTGATTTTCAAACCTCAACTGGATGATTTACTATCACCAAGCTTGATCTAGTAGGGTACATGTGGCCAGTTGCTCAGTGTTAATTTAATAATAGTTATCATATTAAGAATTATAATTGCAGAATTGTTGTACAAAGGTAGAAAAAGCTCAAACAAAGTATTTATGTGTATATATGTATATACCATGACATACTTAAGAAAGTGAATAGTAGTTCTCCTTTATTTGCATTATAATTACCGGTTTGTGATAGCAAAATGAATGCTGGGATTGACTGATTTAATAAAGTAGGTCAGCGGCAGTCCCTGGGAGCTGACCCATTTCCTGCTTGGTCTTGATGTCAGTGTGCTCCCTCTCACCTTGACCTTCAGCCACATCTAAAATCTGGGAGAAAAGTTTCAAGGTCTCCATGCTGGTGAGTTGTCTCTCTTTGGATGAAAATCTATCTGCATCCTGACCTCTGCCCTTTGACCCTGCATCATCCAGGTAGCCTAGAAATAATGATAAAGAATTTTTTAATCTATGTGGAATAATATGGTTCAAGCAGTATAAGATCTTACTGATAACTGCCCACTCATTTTAAGAATTAGAATGGTATGGTTAATAGTCAGGAAAATTTATCTGGCTGGAAACAGTATTTCTGGATATACAGAGGTCACAAAACCTTGTCTATAGGCCTACTACATACAATCATGTTCAAAGTGATATTACCTTGTTATTGTAATATAAATTGACCAGATCAAAAGGCAGAAGCAAGGTAATGTAAAATGCACTGGGAATAGAATTTACTAGAAACAGAAACTGAACTCTTATATGGGTCTAACTAATTATAAGTGAGAACCATTGGTCTCTTTATTTAGAATTGAGAAACATGGATCCACCTGATTTAATTAACAACATGGGTCGATACAATTATAATTTAGAACTTCAGAGGAGTGAATTTAAAATGTTTCTTTTATTATTCAATTATTAAAGCCTATACTTTGTTACATTAAATTACATAAGGGTAGCATTGTGGATATCAGTTATAAACCTAATGAAAACATTAGCTCTAACTGGCTTGATACTATGAATCACCAAACTACTCTTGAATACATTGGCAACACGAAAAAATTATATATATTTATATATATATATTATAATATCTTTCTCATGGAATTTTAAAATCTGTATATAATACGCCTACATGAATATTTAAATATATTTTAAGTTCTATTAAAAACTAGAGTTATTCTTCCTTCATTGCATTATGCTCTGCTGGTTAGACAGTTAAAGGTGACCTTAATGACTAATGTTATGGGGGATGAAGACACCACAGGACAGCATTTTTGTCACTATGAACTCGGGGTAAATTATGTCAGTGAATACTGGCAAGTGAACAGGCACAAATGGAATAATATCAGATTTCATAGTGATCATTTGTTGCCCAAATTCTTATAACATAATACTCATCCTTAACCATGCATTTATTGATAATAGATGTACAACTCTAGGCTTATAACTCGAAAATTGATATTTTTATTTGAATGCACCACAAAAATTTTAAATCTAATAAGAAAAAGAAACATTTAATTGTTTAAATAACAATAATTATATGTTGGATGAAAAGGTTTTGAAGCAGCAGTCGATGGTTTAATATGCAACTTTACATTATTCTAAATTATAATACTGTAACTTTGGTTATTGGCCAATGCAAAGAGGATTAAATTAAACTGAACTGATCAATTCATGATGCTACAAATTATTATGCATTTTATAATTTAATGTGTGTAATATGAATTGAATCTTGCTTTAAAACTAGATTTAGGCTTCAAAGAAGTTTAAAATGTTTGCTTTTTTAGGCTACTGGTATTTGTCTCATGTGCCTACTACCTGCCTGACCCCACCTGCATACAGCTTCCATCTGAATAATAACACCCACCGGTAGATTCTTACCTGAATTATAACACCCTCCTCCTCCATACACCTACGCTGTCATCGCCCCCACTTAGATACACACACGTATAACCCACCTATACAATTTCCACCTGAATAATAACACACACCCCTCTGTATATCTATCCTTCCCCCCCCCCACCACACCCTAATATCCCACTTGTATAATTGCCACCCCTCCTCACACCTGCCATCCAATAACCCACCTGTAAGATTCCCAGCTCAATAATAACACCCCCCCTCTACACACCTGCAGTTTACCACCCCCCCAACAATTCCCCTACCTGCATGACTGGCACTCTCCATGACATGCTTGTACAGCCTCCTCCTCTGGTCATTGGCCAGCAGGTCGATCTCAATCTGTCTGGTCACTATGGCCTGGGACTTGCGCCACACGTTGAACTCGTAGTCTACAGGAACTATCCTTTCTGCAATCACCTGGGAAATATCAGGTGGGGATCAGGTAAACACCTTAAGCTGTTTACAGTTTGAGAGTTCATTAAATTTACCAGTGACAACTTTGTGAAGGTCAAGATGGCAGATGAAGTAGAGTTCACCTGTTTCTGCAACTTTGGCATATGATAGGATAGTGTGGTGAATTCTGTGCCAAGCCACTTTAAGTTTAGAGTGGGGTGAGCTTCAATTAGTACCCAGCATAATTGTAAGGGCTCATGGATGTTTAGCCCTCCAATCCAGGATTTGAACTCAAGACTTTAACGTAAGCATTCATGTGCTTTACCATCCCACCAATCTATCCCATTTCAAAATGTATTTAAAATATTAACCAAAAGCAAAAACAGCCTCTCATTTGTAATGTCAATAATTAGACCCAGACATTAAAGTAAAAGACAGAAGTTAAAACATTTCAGTCCAATATCTGCCTTGACAAGTTCCATAATTTGACTAACCTTAATGATGACATATGCTTTCCCTTGAGTCAATGTTAATTCCACTTTCTCATTGACACTGTCAAAGTTGGATGTGTGTCTAGATCCGGTTCTCTGGCCATCAGCATGGATGAAATCAATATCGCCAATAATTTCTGTTGGACAGGGTTGCAAAACTCATTTTTATTAAAACTAGATTGGATTTGTAATAAACAGTAGAAGTGAACTGTTACATTGAAACAACAAAAAGGTCAAAGACTTTAAGCACAATTTATCAATTTAATTTTAAACTTACACTTTTTTTTTACTACCACTTAGTCTAGACCCCATCTATATAGTGTATAGAATAAAGATCTTGTATGTTGAAAGAAGTATCATCAAGAAAAACATGAAAGCTAGAGTGGAACATTCTTTACTTTTTATTATGTCTATTGTAGATGTGCTGAGATAGTAGTATTTATATTTAAAGCCAAGGGGAACAACCAAAGAAACACCGAAAACAGAACAAGCCATGAAGAGTTACGCCGAGCTTACAATTAACTCTCATTTAAAATGCCTTACGGGGAAGGTTAATCAATAATAATCTTTCAAATTTAAACATATTGTTTGTTGTTTTTTTTTATGCACGACAGGATTTGCTTCTTTTATCTTTACTATTACTAGTCTACTCTTTATAAGTTTATAGTACTCAAGACTAATGGATTTTAAAAATAAAATAAATTCTTATCAGAGAGGGTAAAACCATGCTGATCTAGTTGGGCCTGTCTCGTTCAATATAGGCGTATTTATTTGTGATCACTTAGCCCATAATATTTATGTAAAGACTTAAACCTCTAAACAACCAGAAGGGAAAGACAACTCACCTTCGTTGTGATGCTCAACATCTATCGTCTGCCGGATGTCCTTGCTGTCAACATTGGCCAACTTTGAAAGCAGAAGAGCGCTGAGATTCTGTTTCTTCCTGGGTTTTGGACTGAGTTCAACTGTCGATTGAGACCAAAAATAATAATAAAATTTCATGAGGTTTAACAGCTTTAGATGGCTTGTTATGTGGGTCAATTGTTTGCTATGTGAAGCCAAAATGAAAGATCACAATAATAAAAGGGCTTCTGGCTAGTAGCCTACTTCTTCATTAGGTCGTCGGTTTCTTTCAGATATTTTACTTTGGGGGTGGGGGCATTTGAAACAACCGGGGCTTTAAAAGAACGGCCTATATATTTTCTACTTAAATGTATATATTGTTTCTATATGGTACGGGCGGTGGTCATACTCAATGGGGGGGGGGAGTTAGAGGGCGCACTGCCCGGGAGAGATGCCTGGAAGAAACATCATCAGTTCATACTCAAAAAACATGGGGCATATGAAGTAGAGTTAATCTCTTTCATTGACCTAGATTCGAACTCGAGGCTTTCGGGTTAGCAATCGTAAGCTCTACTATTCGTCCACGCCGTTCCCCTAAACCTGCAGTTGCGACTTGAAAGAAATCATTTGAATGAATGATTTGGATGATAATCTATTTGAAAGTAATCAACGACTAAAACCACAGAACGGATTAGTACAAAAATACAACGTTAGTCACATAAGACTTCAGTACTAGAATGCGTAAGTCACATAAGGCTTTAGTACCAGAATACGTTAGTAACATAAGGCTTTAGTACCATAATATGTTAGTCACATAAGACTTTAGTATCAGAATACGTTAATCACATAAGACTTTAGTACCAGAATACGTTAATCACATAAGACTTTAGTACCAGAATATTTTAGTCACAGTAGACTTTGGTACCAGAATACAACGTTAGTCACATAAGACTTTAGTACCAGAATACGTTAGTCACATAAGACTTTAGTACCAGAATACGTTAGTCACATACAGAGGCGTAGCGACCCTTCCCGGCGCCCGGGGACATACTTTCAATTTGGCGCCCCCCTCGGGAGCAAATTTTCGATTTGTACCCCCCCCCTCGAACTTTTCATTTGCACCCCCCCCCCCTAAAACTTTCGATTGATTTGCACCCCCCTCGAACTTTTCATTTGCACCCCCCCTCAAACTTTCGATTTGCACCCCCCCCTCGAACTTTTCATTTGCACCCCCCCCCCCTCAAACTTTCAATTTGGCGCCCCCCCCCTAAGGTCGGCGCCCGGGGACATATGTCCCCCCGCCCCCCCCCCCCTCGCTACGCCTCTGGTCACATAAGACTTTAGTACCAGACTACAACGTTAGTCACATCAGACTTTAGTACCAGAATACGTTAGTCACATCAGACTTTAGTACCAGAATACAGCGTTAGTTGTTTACAAGTTAGTAGCTGTCTCTTGGAGGTTCCGGCTGTCGACGAGTGGACATCGACAACCAAAATGACCAAGACGTTCATGTCCAGCAGGTGAAGGAGTCTCCCGTATGTACAGGAGACACTGTCTACCGTGCTGGTCAGTGGTCAAACTAACGTGATTTAATCAACAAGAGTACAGGAGACACTGTTTAACGTGCTGGTCAGTGGTCAAACTAACGTGATTTAATCAACAAGAGTACAGGAGACACTGTCTAACGTGCTGGTCAGTGGTCAAACCAAGGTGATTTAATCAACAAGAGAACAGGAGACACTGTCTAACGTGCTGGTCAGTGGTCAAGGTGATTTAATCAACAAGTGTACAGGAGACACTATCTAACGTGCTGGTCAGTGGTCAAACCAAGGTGATTTAATCAACAAGAGTACAGGAGGAGAATCAAGTTGAAAGTGTTCTCTTGTTAAGTTTATTCCTACAGTTATTGCAATAGGGGAAGGTGTGGTCTAGCGGCAAACCGCAGGTTCGCTAACCCTAAGTTCTCAAGTTCGAAACACACAAAAATCCATGCACACATAATGATTTTTCAGGATTTTCAGGATTTCTCTGATTTCAGTGTATCAATTTTTTTAGAACCCTTATGTTATCCAATTTTGACACAGACAAGAAATCAAAATTCATCTTCTTTGTTCTTAATTGTAAAGTTATTTCTTCCAATACAATTAGATAGTACGTGTTAACAATTTATGCACCACAAAACCTCTTGACTCCGCATATCATTCTGCTTTTATTTTATTTTTAAATCTGAAATGCAGTTGTTGTTTGGTGTATACGTTTTCTCTCCTAGATGGGTTTCTGTCTCCCAACTGGCGATCCTTATCTGCCAAGGGGTTCGAACTCGGGACTTTAGCGAGTTAGCAATCATATGCTCTACTTCACGTTTTCACGAGTATGTAAATAACACTAACGGCAATTATTTTATTATTTTATTTTTTTAAATTAGTAATTCGTCAGGGTCTGAATTCCACATCGTGAAGCCTAGTTTCTGTAGAATCGTTTTATGTCTGTATTTCATTGGATGTGTGTATATAAGGTATGCATATGTTTGTGTGTAATATATATATATATATATATATATATATATATATATATATATATATATATATATATATATATATGTATATATATATATATATATATATATATATATATATATATATATATGTATATATATATATATATATATATATATATATATATATATATATATATATATATATATATATATATATATATATATATGTGTGTGTGTGTGTGTGTGTGTGTTTTAGTGTGTGTGTGCACTTGCATGCATGTGTGTGCACGTACATGCGGTTGTGTGTCTGTAAATATAACTACGTGTTTATGTTTTCTGTAAGCACGCACGTACATGTATTTGCTTGTATCTGTCAATGCAATTGTGTGTGCGTATGTTCTGTATGTGCGTACATGTGCGGAGATGTGTGCATGATCATGTGTGTGTGTGTTGTATGTGTGGGCATTTTAAAAAAATTAATATTGTCCTGTTCTTCATGTTAAACTAAACAAAAAAATATTGCATCACACCTTTGTGTCTACACCGCCATATCTCAATCATCCAGTTCTTCTATCACCAAAGTTCGTCACGACAGTCTCATAATTTATAACATGTAAATATAGCTCCATTTTTTTCTTCTAAACAATACTTCGCTCGATATTTACGACACGATACTTTAATCTTTTATCGAAGTAAGGAGCGTTAACATTTATCACAGGGAAAATCCGATTCTGATAAATGTTATCATTAGTCATGTGTTAACTGCTAACATATGACTATGAGATATGCGTCATTCGAAACGTGGGTCACGTGATATATTCCAACCAATGATCACACGCTAGGGACCGGACGATTGTAGATATAATAAGGTGCAAACCAAAACATATGAAGCATTTTATGGTCAGATTACAAAGTGTAGAAGAACAAGAGATATTCATCAGCGTAGTTTTGAACACACTGCTAGATGACAATACTACGCTAACAAAACTCGGAGACTTGACATAGTCTACATCTTCAATACGTCGTTTACTGCTCGCATAGAGGGGTTTCTGTTGTATTTCCGGTGTGATGACATAAGCCTGACTAAGAACTCAACACAAAAGCTCCATAACACCTCATTTGAATCCAGGATTATGAATTTCCGTATTTGTTGACGTTTCTAAAAAAAAAAGTACTACCAAAAAGCTTTGAGTACTTGAACTATATATCTTTGTGTATGAGTTAACTCTCAAAAAGGAAAACGAAAAAAAAATCTTTTCTTAAAAGACGGAGCATACACGTTTAACAAGAAACAATTTAAAAGATCAATTTGTTGATGAAATGTTTTGGTGACGATGATGAGATAATCCGGTAATTATGAGATAATCCACGGCTCGTGTCGTTATCTCACCTCCCAGAGATATGATTCAAACTTCGGCCTACTGACACCAGTTACGTTATCTTCAAGATTTAAACTATTATTTGTACGTTGCTTTGTTAATTGTCTCAATTAGTTTTGATGAATCATTATTTACGTTGGAACAAAAATAAATTTGATTATTAGAACACGCTATATATTATTTTAATAAGCAACAAAGAACTATATTTTTTCATAGTTTTCATACTTCACATTTATTTAAAAAAGAATTTACTTTTTAATAAACGGTTTGAAACTATTTATTAAGATTGTGAATTGTTATCCACACATTTTAATTAATAAACCACTTCCACACAAAATGGATGTAAAGATATCAACAGACGTGGACGAGTGGATAAATGAACTATACGAGTGCAGGCCCCTGAGCGAGGCTCAGGTTAAGTCCCTTTGCGACAAAGCCCGGGAGATCTTGACCCGCGAGTCTAATGTCCAGGCGGTCACGTGTCCGGTCACCGTCTGCGGGGACATCCACGGCCAGTTCTACGACCTGCTGGAACTCTTCAAGGTCGGCGGTCGTCTGCCCAACACGAATTACCTGTTCATGGGGGACTACGTGGACAGGGGGTACCACTCGGTAGAGACGGTCTCACTTTTAGTGGCGCTCAAGGTAAGTACATTAATGTTAACGTTCAGAGTTTCTTCCAGGCATCTCTTCGGGGGGGGGGGGGGGGGGGGAGATAAAATCTGGAAGAAACACTGTTAACTTTTAGTTCAATAACAGGTTCACGTCTTTTTATAAACAGCGGTTAACAATTGATGTCAAATTTATGTTAACATAAGTGAAATTATAAATTCGCGTTTGGTCATTTGGATGTTTGGATGGGATTCCTTTTAACACAATCAAGTATTACGCGTTAACTTGTTATGCGTCATAAAGGGCCATTGGCTGTTATTTCAGCCTGCTTTTCTTTTTGTATTTGCTTCCTTAGTCTTTGTCCAAGCGAGAACTAGCTACAAGGCAGCAGTTGTTCGATTTTGGCGTTGTCTCTCCTAGATGAGTTGCTGTCCCCAACTGTAGAGTTTCATCTGTCCGATGATTCGAACTCGAGATTTTTCGATTTAGCAGTATGGACGTTTTCATTTCGGTCCCTTCGTCCCCTCCAGCATTTTTCTGACAAATGTTAGATACCCATTAAGGCTGAGTCGACTCAAACTGTATAGTATATTTAAGCTGTAACCAGTTGTAAACAGTAATTTATTTCCAGAACACCGTGTCTGCTATTTCGTGACTTTTTTATACTAAATGTTCGTTAAAATTTCAAAGTAATACTTTTTGCAGAGTTTCTGTCTTTTTGTCTTCGTGGGGGGGGGGGGGGGGGGAGGGGCGGGGGCGGGGGCGGCACCCTCTAATGAGATGCCGAAAGTGAAAGCAACTCTGGCAATTATATCTTGTGTTTTAATTACTTGAAACATATTTTTAAAAGGCTCAGTTAATCTGAATAATCGCCTTAAGATTAATGTTGGGGTCCCATAGACAAGTGCCAATCTGGATCTTACGTTAAGGAGACTGTTCAATAAACCTTCTATAGTGATAAACTAACTTAAACTGTATTCTGACGGAGACATAAGGCAGAAACTTTCGATTTTTTTATTTTAATATTTTTTGTGTGCCTACTTTACTTTTTGATTAATTCTACCTCCCCTTTTTGTTGCAGGTTCGATACCCAAACAGAATCACCATCCTCAGGGGCAACCACGAGTGCAGAATGAGCACACAGGTCTACGGGTTTTACGACGAGTGTCTCCTCAAGTACGGCAACTCCAATGTTTGGAAATACTTCACCGATCTGTTCGATTACTTCCCTCTAACAGCTCTAGTCAACGGGACGATATTCTGCCTGCACGGCGGGTTATCGCCCTCTATCGACACGCTTGACCACATCCGGGTTCTGGACAGGTTCCAGGAAGTCCCCCACGACGGGCCGATCAGCGACCTGCTGTGGTCAGACCCGGAGGACCGGAACGGGTGGTCCATGTCCCCGAGGGGGGCGGGCTTCAACTTCGGGGAGGACGTGTCGGAGGCGTTCAACCACTGCAACAGCCTCTCCCTAATCTCCCGGGCCCACCAGATGGTCATGGAGGGCTACAACCTGTGCCACGGCGGTCACGTGATCACCGTGTTCAGCGCCCCCAACTACTGCTACCGGTGCGGCAACCAGGCGGGGCTGATGGAGGTCGATGACCTTGGAAACACCCGGCTCACCCAGTTTGAGCATGCGCCGAGCCAGAACCGGAACACGAAGTCCAAGGTCCTGCCAGACTATTTTCTTTGACTCTGACTGCTCTGTTGGTTTTTTCCACTTTTAGAAGTTTATATATATATATATATATATATATATATATATATATATATATATATATATATATATATATATATATATATATATATATATATATATATATATATATATAATAGTTTTTTAAATCTCTGTGCTCTAATATTTTCATCTTAGTCTAAGGTTATAATCTGAATAATCTCTAAGCCGGAAGGTTCGTAGTATAATCTCGATCGCCAGCGATGTGTTCGTTGCTAAATTTTGAATATATTTTGAATATATATAGGCCATATTTGTTTATTTATGTATTTATTTTTTATTTACTTATATGTGTGTGTAGTACATGTGTATATATATATGCATATATTATAAACACACACGCAAATACATATATGTATATGTACAATTGTGTATGTGTGTGTATCTGCATCAATATTAACACCTCTCTCACACACACACACACATGTTAGGTATCAATAACCGAATTATTTATCGATCCATGATAAGCTAAATGTCAGATGTGTTACAGTATTAACATTATCGTCCTGTGTTGAATGTGTGTTGTGTGTTAGGTCAAAAAGATTGTGTAAGATGGGGGACCAGCTAACGGAAAAAAATATCTTGTCTGTTGAATGTTAACGGAATTTTATTGTGTGTTTGAACAGTCATTAAAATTATATTGATGTTTTATAATAAAAATACAATGAGCAATAAATTCAATAGCTGTATTGTACTTTTTAAAACACCATAAAACATTATAAGTAAGTTTATGCAGGGTGAACTGTATTATTTGAGCTGTGTAGGTGGGCAACGTTAAGATGAAGTGTAGGACTTTGATGAATTATATTGTAGGAATTTAGAAGGACATAATGATGTCGATATACTGAAGGACTTTAGTAGGTCACGGGGGCGTTAAGATCAATTGTAGGACTTCGAGATATACTGTAGGGCTTTATTAGGACACGGAGACGTCGAGATATATTGTAGGACTTTAGTAGGACACGGAGACGTCGAGATATATTGTAGGACTTTAGTAGGACACGGAGACGTCGAGATATATTGTAGGACTTTAGTAGGACACGGAGACGTCGAGATATATTGTAGGACTTTAGTAGGACACGGAGACGCCGAGATATATTGTAGGACTTTAGTAGGACACGGAGACGTCGAGATATATTGTAGGACTTTGGTAGGACATGCAGACGTCGAGATATACTGTAGGGCTTTATTAGGACACGGAGACGTCGAGATATATTGTAGGACTTCGAGATATACTGTAGGACTTTAGTATGAAATGCCGACGTCGAGATATATTGTAGGACTTTAGTAGGACACGGGGACGTTAAACCGTTAAGATCAAGTGTTGGACATTGTTTGGCGAGCTAGTTTGGTATCTGTGACGTCAAATCTTAAGCCAGTTAGTCACACTAGCAGCTAGCCTGGTTTATAGATCTACTCCAAGCCCCTGACCGAACAGGTAGTCCCTGTTTCTTTAATTGGGGAAGTGGTGTATTGTCCTTATGTTATTCCACTTCATGAGTTATCCCCCTTCCTTCCTTAGCTTGTATTAACGACCAATATTTTCTGGTACAATAACACTGCATTCATATAATTCATAATGGGATTTTTTTGTCCCTAAGAAATTCGGCGTGTCGTTAGTATACTTGAATGCAGTAGTCATTCATGCGCGAGGATCGCACTTCTAATTTTGGCTCTGCTATTTTCAATGTAATGTCTAAATATGATTTTGTTCAGTGGTATATAACATGAAGGCTTAGTTTTGGCTTTTTTTTTAATTTTGTGTAACGTTTTGATTTGGTTTTATAATGTTGTATATGACGTTAAACTTTGACTTTATTTATGCTGTATGTGACGAATAGATTAGGTTTTCATAATTATGTTGTATGTAAAGTCTAATTTTGGCTTTATTATGTTGTATATAACGTCTAGATTTGACGTTATCATGCTTTGTATAACTTTCAAAACAATTGCAAGCCAAATGATTTTTTGTAAGGGTATAGGTTCGAGGCTTAGGGCCTCTGTCCTATGGATTATATTGGTGATTTAAAAAAACACCAAGAGATAATCCATCACTGAGTTGAAATAATAGCTGCATTTGCCGAACAATGGCTGTTTTCATCAACACGAAAAACAACATTTAGGTGTAGTCGTTGCTTGCAAACGGAAAAGTTTTTTTTCTTTTCTTATGTTTTTATTTATTGGCTTGGTTGTCGTGATATATTTCGTCATGCATAACAGTTATATTTTGTAATTCGTTAATTTACTTTTGATAAAAAAAAACAACGACTCATGTAAATAAAAGAAAAACTCGGTTTAATTGTTTTGTCTTTGGAGATGGTGTAGTATTTGAAAGCATTGTAGACGGTGATGTACTTGAAAGAGCTGGGTATTGTAATGTATTTGCAAGCATTGTAGATGGTGTTGTATTTGAAAGAGCTTGGTATTGTAATGTATTCAGCATATCACGACATGGGTGTGGGTGAGGCCGTGTACCTAGGCTGTGATGGAAAGATGTGGTCGAGTGGTAGAGACAGCAATAGCTCACCTTAAGGATAGGGTGTTCGGTGCCTGGATCAAAATATTATACGAACAGTACTAATCCACCTATTTCTGATGGGTACCTGGAAACGACATATTCATCTAGCGGCTACCTGAAAACGACATATGCACCTAGCGGGTACCTGGATACGCCATATTCATAGAGCTCTGATGGGTACCTGATATTGACGTCCGTAATTCCGCCCAGCTTTAATGGGTACCAGACTATAACGTATTTGATCCCACCCAGCCCTAATGAGTACCTGGCATCATTCAGGGAAAATAAAGGCATTTCGGTATTGCATTAGTTGTATATACTCTCATACCACATAAACTATGAATTGTTTTTTTGTTACTGAATGTCATATCCAAAAGAAGACCTTCGAATAAGGAGAGAGAAAGGTAAACGAATAAAGCATAAAAGGCAAACATTACGAGACTATTCACATCAAAGGGTACAGAGGTTCTAAAAAAACCACAGAAAGATAGAAAGCAGTAAATATTTATTTGAACTTGAGAGTTCAAGCCTATAGAAATTTGATGGGGGTAACTTTCTATCAATGTTTTATTTGCAACGCTGTGAAAAAAAATGTTAAGGGGGCGGGATGAGGGGGTGGATATCGCATTCCTGGTAATGTAATAGTTCATTAACACTTTAAAAACTAGGATCATACACAAGGCCTTACGTAACCCGAAGGCACAGAACAAACCTTGGTTGCGAGATCGCGAGGCTAATTTGGCGTAATGTTTACCTGAAACACACCTGAGATGTCTGAGTAAGGGGTGGGGGGGAGAGGACAGGTGCAGCGGCTTATAGACAGGTACACCAGTCTATAGATAGACACGGGGTAAACTTGTCAAAGGATTTTTAGTTACACGAGACGCGTGTCGTGTAAAGATGGCCGCCATTACATCTAGACGCATATTTTTTTCCCCACTGCCACAAAACAAACTGCTGAAATGTCGCATTATGACCTATAATCTAGATGAACAGCGGGTTGTAGCTAACGGGTTGGGTTCAAATCCCTTAGATCAGCATTTTACTTGAAGATCCGGTTTTAAATCTAGTATCGCAATGTCGGTCTAGTATTTCAGCTATCAAATCCTCAAAGTAACTTGTCACGTGGTATATGACACAATCGCCTCTGTTCTTCCACCGCCCACCCCACCCCACGTTGCATAAATAATGAGATCCAAGGGACACTTGGGTTTTAGAGTGCAGCTAGAAGTCTTATAGAGGCTAAGAGCAGTCGTGTGACCTCTTGACATTTTTGCTCAGCTGTTACATACACACACACACACGTGCAGACAAACACACACAGATACACACACACACACACACACACACACACACATATATATATATATATATATATATATATATATATATATATATATATATATATATATATATATATATATATATATATATATATATATGTGTGTGTATATATCAAACTCGGCGAGTTCAGTGTGCTAGGCCTAAAAATTAACCTTTATATTTGGTTGTGTCGCCAAAATCTGTGATTAATGAGCCCAAGACAGTGGTACTTTTAACCTGGGTTCGATCGAACCTATGGGGTTTGGTGAGTCGGTCTCTTGCGGATTCCAGATAAAGTTCCGTTTTCAGTTAAATTTGATATCCTGTTAAATTTCCGTTTCTGCCAAAATTTCCGTATCCCTCCGGTAAAATTTCCGGATCCTGTTAAAATACCCGTTCTGTATTTCCATTTTCAATTAAATTTCGTTTCCAGTTAAATTTCTCCGGTTTCTGAATTTGCATATCCGGCTAAATTTCCGGATCAGGTTAAAAATACGTTTTCAATTATATTTTTTGTTTCCATATAAATTTGAGGGTGGGTGTTGGGTTTTGGTTTCGGTTTAGACAAAAAGACAACACTATCAACCTAGCGCCCGTTGTATTTCTTCCTCGACGGGGCATTTAACTAGTCTTCTAAGATTTGCGGAGCCCCAAACATAGTGAACTAAATCAAATTACAATATATGTAAATTAAAACCAAGCAATCAGAAAATTATACTTAAGGTAAAGCTTCAAATATTCTCATGTCTTCAGGTTATTTTCAATTAACAGTTAATTAATTAAAAGCTGGGTCTTTGCCCACTGGCGACATGCTGAAAAATAAGACGTACAAGGTACCATGCCCCTACAGGTAAACACAAGGAGGCGAAACACCTTTACTACAAGAAACAGACTTTGTTTCGTGTTTACTCTGAGAGAGTAGTGACAGCAGTGTCAAAAATATTGCGCAATTTTTTTTAATTCTATAAAAAGACGAAATACCTACACCTTCAAAAGATATTTTAAGACGAATATTTTTTAAAAATGTATTTCGTGACGTCAATTACATTGGCCTACGCATAAAATTCTGACACGTGTAGCTAGTTTTGAAGAATTATTTGCTAGCACGCCAAGGTGTCACATGTCTTTTATACAGCAAAAGTACGGCAGTGTACCACGACGAATACGTGTAGGATTTATGTATAAATCTGACCTTAGATCATCCCCCACGATATAGACAACTATACCCAGAAACCACCACCACTAACCCTATCTCTTTACACTCCCTGAGTTTACAGTCACACAAAGTAATGAATTTTTTTTAAAGCTGTACGAATTTGAAAGGAGCCGCAGTCATTTGCATTTTTTTTTAAATCACGAAGTCGAGCCATCCGTGTAGGCAACTGAAGCCTGCTCGTATTTTTTCTGTTTGCCATCAACTCAAGGGATTCCCCCCATTCACAAGTGGGACTTTCTGTCTTCTCTATAGAAGATGTCCACATCCTTTTATCGTTCAAGCTTTAAGATAATATTATATTTCTCATTCATTTGCATATTTTTTTCACGTTTAATTTACATTCGTTACATATGGAATCACAACTATATATATATATATATATATATATATATATATATATATATATATATATATATATATATATATATATATATATCAATGTATATACGACATTTATCAATGCATATATCATACATGTATCATATATACATATATATATATATATATATATATATATATATATATATATATATATATATATATATATATATATATATATATATATATATATATATATATATATATATATATATGTGTGTGTGTCTTTCCTTTTAGGTGTCGTAATATCCAATGTGGGGGGGGGGGGCGGGTTTAAGTCCAACAAATCCTATGTGTATATCTACTTTATAGATGTCGTAGATAAGGGTCTATGAAGCCAGCAGTACAGATAACGCTGACCAGAGGACACTTGTTATTTAGGTGACTTAACCAGCCCAAACACTTGACTGGGTGAATAGAGGCTAAACGTCGTACACTGGCAACCTTTGACCGTATGAACTTTAACCTTTCTGTTGCGGCTATTACGCACATAAAAACATAACCGTACATAAACATACATGCATTTATTCATACATATACAAACACATACAAACACACGCACATATTCTACACTCCGTTCTTGACACATTTTCATACAACTATGACTTGTCGCGTATAATAATATTTGTACATGTTTTTGACAATCTACGGGGGTCTAGTGCTATATTTCCTTATATCGTTGTTTTCATCATTCGCATACAACTTGTCCTTGTAACTTGACAGTTATTTAAATTTGATATCGACGGTCCTGCCGCCTAACTCATACATCAGGCAGTATTTTGGAGCCTTAGACAGTCGCCAGCTAACTTATCGAGAACTGCGCCCTTATTTGCTCTATATATTTAGTTAGCCTATTACCCCCTACTTGAAGGAATGGAGTGGTTCAAGCTAACACCCCCACCCTACATTAAAGGAATGGACCATTCTGACAACTCGGAGATACATTTTAAAATTTAACCCTCTATTTTTAGATAGGGTTAACGTACAACAATTGTTAATTACTTTCTAAAACGCAGTTTACGATTAACGTAATTGTGTTAGATCGCGATAGACGTACTGATTGGGGGAAAACAATGTTTATAAAAAAATATAAATGTCAAGGTCATGTTCTAATTTTAAAGCAAACTCAACTCTATTTTTTAAATATTGAATTTAAATATTCAGTGTTTTAAGTAACTTATGTATTTAAAACAAAATAAAAACAAAACTTTTACAGAAGGTAAACGAACAGGTGGGTTTTTTTTAAAAAGGGAAGTAACTTTCCTTCAACGATTTTGGCCTTATTTTCACACCATTTTTGAAATATAAATTACCCCTTTTTTTTTCAGGCGTGTTTTTAAACTCCTGTGATTAAGTCACGCTGTCATGTCAAAATATCCGCGCTATTGACAGCACAAGATGGCAGTGTTTAAATTAAAAATGTGTACAGCCAAGCGCAGTATGTAGCCTACCGCAGCTGTGTTGCAGTTCTTAACCCGAAGTGTCCCATCTCAGGATCAAAACATTTCGAAACTTTCCCAAACACCACGACAAAAAAATAAACACTTTTATTATAAAAAAATAAATTAAAACGTAGTTGTAAACAAAATCAAATTGATGGTATTCAGCACCACATGGCTATGTTAAAAATAAACCAAGATTTCATATTCATATACATATGAAAAGCGCAAAGGAAGTAAGATATATATTTTTTTTTCTAAAGCTTCATGCTTGACTTGTACATATTTATGTAGGCGCCGTTTTTTTGTGTGCCCGTAACACTATCTCTTACAATTCAACCCATACAATACGTAATACAGCCCCCAAAAAATCGTATTAATCTTTTAAGCAAACGTGAACTGATATAATACTAAAGAGCCCAGCTGTAGCAGGAGGGGTGGAGAGGGCAGGGGTGTATATCTTCAAGTGGTCCCTGTAAAACGATGCGTTTGATTATACTGGAGTTGAATCCTTTATAGCTATAAATAGCTACTTTTTTTAGTTTTAAGAGCTCACCCCACCTGCCCCACCCCTCTACTTTCCCCCCACCCACAACCCACTCTTTGTAAGTACAGTCATTCACGATACCCCCCCCCCCCCCCCCGTCATTTATTTTCGCCCGTAAATCGACAAGCATTCAACAAAGGCAGTAGATAAGATTTTTATAAGCTTCGGTGATTTTATATTTAAGAACGATTTTTTTTTGTTGCATTTTTTTTTAAAAACCATTTTACTTCAAGCCCTAAATGCCCCACCCCTCTACCTGTCCCCCACCCCACCCCACCCTCCCCAGCCAACCTACAGGGTCTTACTTAAACCAGGTAGACAAACGACATTCCTTGAATCAACTCGAGATGTTTTTTTAAACCTTGGATTACCGTGGGGGGGGGGGGCGTGTTAAAAATGCGCATAGAATAGACTAGATGTAAAGTACAATTTATGAAAGCATGAAATAGTGTGGAGACATCAACACGATAGACTAAACTACTTTGCTAAACCAGCTGCTGTTAGAGAGGAGACAGTATATATTTCTCACTTTAGTCGATAGGGAACCTAAAATTTAGTCGATAGGGAACCTAAACTTTAGTCGTTAGGGAACATAAACTTTAGACGTTAGGGAACCTAAACTTAAGTCAATAGGGAACCTAAAGTTTAGTCGATAGGGAACCTAAACTTTAGACGTTAGGGAACATAGGCTTTAGGAAATAAGGAACCTAAAGTTTAGTCGATAGGGAACCTAAACTTTAATTGGACTGATGACCCTCAACGTAGCTCACAAACTAGTTGTCCTAAACATTATTCAGATAAGTCAATACGGGTTTTCAATTTACTCACACTAGTGTGTTTTCCTCAAAGTAACACTGTTTTCTGAAGATGATATTACTACAAAAATGTGTCGAAAATAGAGATTTGGAGTATTTTTGTGATAGAAGAAACACAACAGTTTATGCTTCGATCTCCTGGTATAATTGTTGAACTATGACAAGCTAGTTTATCAGAGTGATAGTTGAGTAGAGTCGCCATTACTTTCTACCATTTCGTTCACGTACTAGAGTTCGAAACCCGGACAGGTGAGGTTCGTTAGTTGGGGATAGCAACCAATCTAGCAGAGAAAACTTCAAAATCAAACAACTGTTGCCTTGTAGTTTGTTCTTGGTTGGACAAAGCCTATGGAAGGAAGGAATTCCAAAAAGAAAAGCAGGCTGAAATCGGAGTGAATGGCCTATATTGCACATAACAAATTGACACGTAATACTTAATTGTGTTGGAAGGAATCCTTCTCAAACACTAGATTTAAGAACGAAGAAGAAGAAAACTTGCTTTATAGATATAAGGTCACGTGCTAATTAGGGAGAGGTCGCCACGTGTTAATTCTGTGGAGCTAAGTAACCACTCACTGAAGCTGAAACAAGTGAACACTTCTCAAATATAATGCACAACAACAACAAAGCGACTGTCACAAAAAATGTAAACAAATCTGTGAATATCTGTTTAGTTGTAAAACAAGACAAGAGGCGCATTAGGTAGACAATGTATGAGGGTTAGAGATTATATCAAACATTATGTTTAAAAAAAAAACTATGACGCCATTAAGTAGATTTTTAAGCACTGCAGTTATTCCTGTCACGTGTTTTCAACATCAGATCCAAGATGGCGGAGATATATGTATTTATACCACCGTTTTCTTTTTTATGAAAAGAACATCCAAAAATAGATATAACAAGCTAGTTCACAACGTAGTTATGGGATGGTGGAGATGGGGGAGGTTATGCTTGGCTTGCTTGTGTTTTATAGTTACGGTCTAATGAATGGGTTTCACCAGAATTTGCTACAAATAGACCGTGATCATAACATATTGTTTTGGCTGTACTTGAAAATATAATAATTTCTGGCCATTAATAATATGTCTCGATAAAAGTACATATAAATCATTTTCTTTTCCCGTTCGTGCCCAAAACAAATGGGGCAGAGGAAGTAGAGTTCGTTGATTCAGAAACCTTGAGCATATGAAGGGATAGTGTACATAAATAGGGCTACACGCTAACCGTTTTCAGTCAAATAGTTTGGTTTTAGCCGAATATCTTAAGTCTAAAAACATTGTCGTGTAATAGTGTTAGAAACGTTAGAAATCTGCATCAATATGAAACATGTTTGATATACGGTAAATACATAGATAAAAAGTTAATTTAAAAAGCTTACCTTGACCTCCTTGACCTTTGAACTTGTGCGCTATTTTATCCACCGTTTCGAAGGTTATATCCTGATGCACGCGCCTCGCCAACTCCTCCTGCTCCTCCCTCTGTAGGCTGGCCATGATGTCGGGGTCGCTCGAGTACAGCGGGTTGTCCTTGCCCAGGTGGAAGCTCGTGTCGAACAGGTTGGCGTTTTCATCGAAATCGTCCTCATCGTGAGACCCGTCTAGACGGTTCTGGATCAAAATCTTCCCCCTCAGCACGCGCAGGTCGTTGCTGAGGTCTTCAGACGACAGGAAATGTTCTGGAACCTGAGGTTCTCGGCTGATCTCGTAGATTCTCTCAACCCGTTCGTATTTATGCCGAGACTCGTTTTCGCCATCGGAGCTGGCGATTTCCGTACCTTGACCGGAATCCGGCGAGACGAATTCCGAGGAGTAGGTTCGCTGAGGCATGCTGTTGAAGGTTGGGTTGGATTTTTCTCGAACGAAATAAACAGTTTTTTCAGTTTTGTATAACTGTGAGTCAGATCTGTTGAGATTCTGCGCGTGGGAGAAGCGAGGTTCGCGGTTCTCGTTGATGTCTATGGTCGAGACGAAATTCCCCGGGTAGGAGCTCGGGTTACTGACCGAGCTGTTGATGACGTACATTTTCTTCCCGTCCGTCTGTTTAATCGGGTTGACGGGTTTTCTGGAACTCCGCCGGCGGTTGTTATCGTCGTCGGAGTCGGATCCGATCCTGTACGAGTCCATGCTCTTAGCTTTCCCAGTCCTCCACATTTTGGGGTCGCTGGGCGCTGAGTTATTCACCACCACTCGGGTGCTGGTGCTTAAATCGTCGACAGATTTCGCTTGTTTGACCATGTACCTTGGATCAACAAAATCCTCTTCCGATTTTTGCTTCTCTTTGATTTTATTCCCTTCCACCTCGAGTTGGATGACTGTTCTGTGAGTTTTGGAAGACGAGGGCTGGTTTTGAACTCGAGACGGTATCACTTTTTCAGTCCGGGTTATCGTCGCCTCCTGTAGGGATTTAGTTTGGCGTAGGTCTGGCACCGAGTATGCAGACAGCACACGGTTACGAGTTTCATTATCTGAAGATGAGACGACCCTGTATCTCTTGTTGCTCTCGGCAAAGTCCTCGTCCGCGCTCGAGTTTCTAATCTTGTAGTAGCTCCTGTCTTCTGAGCGACCCGAGTCTCTCTTCCTGTCAAAACTTTGTTGACTCTGAAGTGACGAGACCTTGTAGAGGGTTTGTTTCTCCGGCTGTGTCGGCTGGTCTCCATTCAGGTAAACTTTCGTCACCGTACGGTATTGTTTCGCATCGCGGTCTTCATCAGATGAGCTCTCTCTGCTGTAGTTTTTGCTAAGGGATAATGTTGGGTTTTTGAAAAATCTTTCCGGGCTATGGTGCTGTTTGGAGCCCCCACGAACTATCCTGTAGGGCGTGTCGCCAGTTTTGCTGTGGGGTCGAGTCCGTTGTAATCCGGCAACGTGTAAGCTCTCCGGCACGCTGGAGGATAAGTTACGCAGCCGGTATAAATTGTTGCTGTCTTGTTGACGTGATGAATGTGAGGCTCTCGTGGACGTGTCATGGGAGGCATAACTTCGGGACTCGGGAGGGGAGTACAAGGGAGGGGAGTGACTCCTGTTGCGGGAATACACCCTGTACATGGACTCGTCCGTCGAGGTGGGTGGCAGGCTAGTGTACGTTTTATAAACCGTGTTTTGAACTGGTCTCTGGTCGTATGTGAAAGTTTCGGTGTTAGAACGATACCCATCTGAACTCGTGTTGAATTCGTTGTCGTATTTCGACGTGTGTTTCATCGAGCTTTTTTTCGGTTTTCCGTTAATGACGTAACGGTGCGTTTCGTCATCAGAGGATGAGGTGTCGGTGTGGGGGGAGCGCATGGTGAACACGTCAGGTGATCTCACGGGTGGGGAGAAGTCGATTTTCATATCCACCTGCTCACCTACGACCGCCTGGGTTGTCGTCGTCACCGTTATCGGTGTCGTCTGGTAGGGCACGTGTTGCGCCTGCTGCTGGTGAGCTATCGCCTGCTGCCCGTGAACTACCGTCTGCTGTTGGTGAACTACCGACCGATCTTGGCTTTGGTTAAGGTCAACGCCATATAAAGGGTTAATTTGGTTTCGAACAACGTACCTTTTTATATCATCAGAGCTTGAATCCGAACTCGAATCCGATCGTTCTCTATAGATTTGGTGATCGTTTACAACAAAAGAATCGGATGCGTGCGAATGGTTGTTGTCGTTTTTCACACTAGTCCAAGTCTGGCTGTGTTCAGTTCTTGAGCTAAGCTCGTAGGTAGGTAGGTAGGAATCATAAACATTGTTGTACACGCCGGTAGAGCCGCTTGACTGGGTTGTTTCAGTGGTAGCGAGCTGGGAATATGTACCTGTGTCCCGTACGGATGAATTCGGCGGAGACGTTCGCCCCGTGCCCCACCCTCGCTGTTCGGTTGTTGTGTTTCGCTCGGCTGACTCCGTGTCGGGGCGCGCTTTCCGATGTTTACTAGCCTCCTGCGACTCGAGGAATGCTGTAATAATTTCACTCGCTTTATCCTCGTCGACAGCGGAACTGCTGACATGAAGTTCGGATTTTATCTCCTCGCCTTGATGCCGCCCATAGCTCAAGCCGTTAAAGTTTACGGTCGCGTGTTCGTTGTGTGACGTCGGAAGTAGGTGTGTCGTCACGTTTTGTTCCACCGCTTTGACGTCACTATCCCCGACTTCTTGCAAAGCGTAAACATCGCCTTTTGAATCTTGGAGAAGAAATATATCCGAACATCCGCTCGTGTCTAGGTTCACCGCCGGCGTATGTGAAGTAGAGTTCTCCGACGCCGCGTGAAAGCTCTCCTCGTGCGTGGTCTGTTTGTGAATTCCGAAAGACGAAACTTGACCCACGACCGCCGCCATCTTGTCGCTGTCCTCGCTGCTCGAACTGCCCTCGGATTTCACGCTGTTCGATTTCCGAGTCAGCCTGACCATGCTGCCCTCGCTGTCCGAACTGCTGGTGTCTTTGTCATGGTGTGTTACGGTGTCGTGATGAAACCCATGGTGTGCTGACACCGACGGATCTTGGGTCGGAGACTGCGTGTGCAGGAAATTCGGCGTTCTCCTGCCGAAATTCAAATTGAGTTGGTTCAACACTAAGTTGTACGAGGTCTTGTTTTCTTTGACGTTCGTATCATCGCTGTCGTCTGACGACGAAGAACCAGACGAATGTTTGCGTTCCGCCGTGCTGATCGTGTCGAGGACTCGCGGAGTGTGCACCTGATGCGTCAGAAGATCACTGCGCGGTGGTTCGACACTCACCGGTCCGGTTAAACTGCTCCCGCCTTGCTGGGGGCGTGTCTCGTACTGCGACCACACCGGCGATTTCAAATTACTCTTGACAGCCTTAAAACTCGTTCTCTTCACAACCACCTCGTCTGGTCCGGCCTGTTCAAATACTTTTTTTAATTCTTTGAACTTGGCCGGAGTAAGTAGTTCACTTTCGTCGATTGATTTCGGTAATGATGAATCACTGGTATGCGATAATTGCTTCCCTAGAGTGCTATGCTCAAAATTGAATTTATTTCCAGTTTCAGGCTGTTTTTCTTTTATTTCGTGTTCAAAATTTAAAAGCTCTTTAAAAGGTTTTTCTAGATCAGTTTCTGGCTTGTCTTGGTTAGATTCAGAAGACGAAGATTTGGAAGAACTGGACTTGGATTTCTTAGAAGATTTGGAAGATGCAACCGAACTGTTTTTTATAGCCGTAACGTCATCGTACGATGACCACGTGACCGGACCGGGATGTTCCGGTACCCCGCGCTCAGATGAAGACGAGGAACTGGAATCTTCTGGAACCGTCTTATGTTCCGTGACGCCGAAAAACAAACTGTCGAAAGCCGTTTCTTTTGGGGTGAGTTGGTGTTCGCTGTGAGAACTACTCACGCTCGCACGCGTGCTCTTGAGGTCGCTGCCGAAACTCAGATCTTTCTCGAACTCGATGTAGGAGCTGGCCTTGGGGGAGAGGATCTTGTGCTGCTGACGTATGACCTCATCGATGGAGGAGTGCTGGTGAGGTATCTCACTGGGTTTGGTGCTCACGTGAACCGCCTCCGAAGATGAAAATTTCTCTTCGACCAAAATCCCGGTTTGAGAATTTTGTTTTGATAAACTTAAATCCGCATGAACTGTTTCGTGGTTATTCTCTTTCTGTAACAAGCTCCCTGATTGGTTAATCACGTTTGAATTGTCACTATTCGACGAATCACTACTCGATCTTCTTTTATCGCCGATTGGAATTTCAGAATCACTACTCGAATCACTGTGGTCGCTCTCACTGTCCAACTTGTGTGATGAAATTCCTCCAGTGAAATTCGAAGTGTCTTCAGTATCGACTTTGATATCGTTCAGAATCGATAAGAAATCAGAATCGACTTCTGGAGATTTATTCTCCTGCGGCAACACAGAAGGGACATAACTCCCATCTAACGATGACAGACGACTGAAGGAAGTCGAGGTCTCTTCGATACCGTGGTCGAACCTAGCCTCGAAACTACCGCCTCCGTTCTCTCCCCTTCCTCCGTGTGGGCTTGTAGCGACGTGAGCAAATAACTCCGGTCGAGCCCTTTTTTCTACGTAGTCGTCTGTGGTTGTCTGTTCTTGTTTTTGAACAGAGTCATGTACCTTTTCTTCTTTTTCTTCCGTGTGAGGTATTTTTTCCTCATAGTGGGTTCTCTTCTCCTGTACTGTATGCTCATGAATATGATATTCCGTAAGATGAGTTGTCACATTGTTTTGTACTTGAGTAAAATCTTTAACCGACTCATCTTCATTGTCTGAACTACTTCGACTGCTTGAACTCGATGATGATTTACTACTTTTGGATTTCTGCACAAGATTTGTCGTTATTTCGTGAATATCCAGCAAGCTGTCATCTGCCGTGGTAATGTTTGTTTCGCTGGATGTCAAAATAAATTCCGATGACTTTTTAAGTTCCGTTTCGCCTTCGCTGTCTGAATCCATTTTTCTCGCGTCTGCTGGCTCATGTCCGGAAGAATCGCTGGAACTGCTCGATCGTCTGGTAGAGTGGGCGGTGTCACTTGATTTGTAAGCGGGGATTAAATCTGATTTGTGTTCGATCGTGTGGTGGATATCGGATCGGGCTTGATCCAGCTCGAACACTTGGCTTTGATCGTCTGGCTGTCGCCGCCCGCCGTTCTCGTGACCGCTTTCGTCATCAATAACGTTGTAGCCGTTATGAATATGCGTGTAAGTATGGCGGGTCGTAATCTGCCCGCTGGCAATGATAGATCGTTCGGCTTCACTGGTTTCTGCAAGGGGTGGGGCGGGGGTCAGCGAACCGCCCCCGGTGGTAATGTTTGCATACTCGTTAGCAGTTTTATTTTCGTGTAACATTTTCAAAAACTCAATGTGTAACTCTTTTTCCTCGTTTTCTGGCGGAGGGATATTTACACTGGGGGTGAAGGTAGGTAAAGAAACGTGTGTGTCGTCTACCTGCGCAGTTAGCCCAGCGCGCGACGTACCTGTGTAATCCTCAGCGTGTTTGTTCTGTGCTGTGTTGACATATGTGTGTAAATATTGCTCGTCTGCGGCGACTGAAGACGCGGGAAGATGCTCTTCGTCTGCTTGGTCTGACTCACTGGAACTCGAGGATGAGGTTTGCTTCAGAGGCTGGTGAGCCGGGGCGGGAGGCGGGGCGGGGGGTTCTGTTACCCTGGGGTGAGGCGCGGACTCCGACTTGACAATAATGTCATGGTCTATGTTTGTTTGTTTTCTCAGCGAGTTGGTCCGGCTGACGTTTCGGCTGTTGATTTGTTGAATGATTGCCCGGCTGGCCGTCAGGAAATCAAAGCTTGGGCTTAATTTGGGATCGGGAATTACCGAAACGAGGCTGGGGCTCTGCTCAGAACGTAGGGCTCTTTGTGTTTTCAGCTTATGGGAGTTGTCCGAATCGCTGTCTGAGGAACTGTCTGCTACTTTTGGTACCGGGGATTTCCGATCGGAATGCTTGCTGCTGTCTGACGATGACCTACTTCTGGTTGAAGGTTTCCGGATGTTGATATCCGGACCCACAACCCGATCAAGCGGTTTGGGATGGGTTGCGATTTCTGCGGATCCCATCTCTAGGGCTACAAGCTTCTGCTGCAGATCTAAACTAAATTCGTCCATTTCCTTGGTGGGCTGGGCTACTGCCGATGTAAAGACGTGTTCAGAGTTTTCTGTCTCGGTCTGTTCCTTCTCATCCGCGCTACTGTCGGACGATTTGGCTTCTGCTACTGACGATTTCCGACTGACGCTTAGACTACTTTCAGACGACGAAGATGACATTTTCCGATCTTTAATCTCCGTGTCATTTTTATCTACATTAGCCCCAGCCTGGTCTAAAATAATATGTGAAAATACATGTAGATCTAAATTAAGCTCAGAGGTCTCTGGATGTTCAACTGTTGTTGTAACTTGTTTCTCAGAAGAAATATCTTGTTCTTCGTCCGAACTACTGTCTGATTCTTTGACTATGGGAGATTTCCCATCAGAGCTCTTGCTACTTTGAGATGAAGATCTACTTAACGTCGACGGTTTGTGGATTTCTATTTCGTCTTGACCATTGGCGTGCTCTAAAGTCGGGGACGAGAAATTATCTCTGATCTCGCGTTCTTTGATTATCAGCTGCATTGCTTCGTCTTCCTGCTCTGCTGTAGCGTGTTGTGTGGACACATGAGCTTCAGTTTTCAGATCTCGATCTTCATCATTCTCATCAGAGCTCTCTGAACTACTGTCAGAAGAAGCTTCTGCTTTTGGTTCTAGTGATTTTCCAGAACTTTCTGAAGATGATCTGCTTCTCGTGGCTTCTTGGTGAATATTCGTAACATTCGTTTCATCGGAGATTGTAATGTGAGATTTAGATTCCACATTATCAGCGCTGGGGTGAAATTCTAAATTTAACTTCTCTACTTCTGTGACAGCAAGAGCATGCGCTAAAACTTGTTCAGATTTTGGTTGGTGGTTTTCATCATCAGAACTGTCTGAGCTGCTCTGAGAGGAGGCTGATTCCACAGCTGGTACAGAAGATCTGCGGTGTGAATGATCAGAAGAAGATCTGCTTCTGGGCGTGGACTGGGGCTGGATTGACACTGGCGGAACAGACACGGATTTATCAAACTGCTCCGAAATTTCTTGTAGAAAATCTAAATGTGTTGCTTCCGTCTCGTGACTGTTGTAGGCTTCTGAATGTAGTTCGGTTTTGGGTAAGTTTTTGTCTTCATTCTCATCGGAGCTACTTTCAGACGAGTCTTCTGCGTCATGTACTGATTGCAATGAAAGTTTTCTTTCACTACTCTCAGATGAAGATCGACTTTTAGTTGAAGTTTTTTCAACCTCCACGACACTGCTTTCAACTTTTTGATCTTTTAGAGTTGGAGATTTCCCATCAGAACTTTCGGAGGATGATCGGCTTCTTGTAAAAGTTGTTTCAATTGTTTGATCTTTAAGAATTGGAGATTTCCCATCAGAACTTTCGGATGATGATCGGCTTCTTGTAGAAGTGGTTTCAATTTTTTGATCTTTTAGAGTTGGAGATTTCCCATCAGAACTTTCGGATGATGATCGACTTCTTGTAGGTGTGCTTTCAACATTCACGACGCTGGTTTCAACTTTTTGGTCACGTGGGCTGGACAGGGGCGAGGAAGACGCCGCTTTCTCTTCCAGATCTTTGACCTTCTCCTGCAGGTTGAAGCTGACCTCTTCTCTCTCTTTGGTGGGAGAGGTCAGGTACTGGGTCTTCATGTTGGTGAACAGCGTGGCCAGGTCCTCGACCAGCCCAGGCTTGATCTGCTGCCGGACCGTTTTCACGTCTGCCCGGAGTTTGGTGACGTTGAGAGCCGCGGGGTTGAGTCTCTTCTTCCGGCCACTCCTGGAGGTCAATGACCTCTCGAGGAGCTGGACGTCCAGGTTTTCGTTTTCGTCGCGATAAAAATTTCGGTCCGGTGTCTTGGGTTGCTCTACGTGCGCTGATAGTTCCGGTGCTGAGGTGTGCCTCGATAGTTGAAGGTCAAGGTTATCCGTATGTAGGTCATGATGATTGTCTATTTTCTCTATAGGAGGCAAATTATCTTCTTGTTGTTTTTCCTCAAAGATGCTCGATTCGGACGACGAGGACGATGAAGAAGAAGAGTTGAGCTGCCTCAGTGGGTCGTGGCTAGCCTCGCTCACAGCTTCTGCGTGTTTCTCCATAGGCGGCTCCGACACGCTCTCGAAAGGTTCAGGAAGAGCGTCATCCGTCATGCTGGAGAACCTGAATGCCGGAGAAGGCAGCTCGCTGTGAGACTCGGTGTACGTGCTGATGGAGAGGGTCTGGTCGGCGAGGGCGGCGTCGAACAGGCCCAAGACTTCACTCGGGGACATGGAGTTGTTTCTGCTGGGGGCGTTGGCTGGGGACAGGAGATTTGAGGGGGGTGAGGAGTGGAGGGTAGGGGAGGTTTGTGTAGGGGGCGGAGGAGGGGAGAAGTGGGGGATGTTTACATAGATAGAGTCTGAGGGAGGTGTTGGGGGTGGGGTAGGTGGGGGAGATGGTGGTGAGGAGGAAGGGGGTGATGGGGGTAAAGAGAAAGGAGGAGGAGGTGGGAGCGAGAATAAAGGAGGGGGTGTTGGAGGAGGGGGTGGGGAAGATGGGGGAGGGGGAAAATGAAACTCTTTTTGGATTGTGGCGTGGATTATTGAGGAGTTCTGTGAGTCTGACGAGGAGGAGGATGAAAAAGAAGAGGATGCGTTCTGGTTGTTGGCGGCGGGAGTCACGTGACGAGTGATGGAGGGGACTCGTTTAACTGGCGCGAGGGAGGAGGTAGAAGAGGATAGGGAGCTCTGTCGCTCAAGGAAAGATTTAGGCGGAGGTATGAGAGGCGGGGCGGCGGGGGATTCTGGGGATTTCAAGCGATTCAACGATGATGTAGACGACGACAGTGACGACGATAATGATAGACGTTTCTCCCTGTCTAGCCGGAACGACGATGTCGATAAGTTCGGGCTGGGGAGGTGGGAGGAGGACGACCTGGGGGTCATGGGGTGCTCGGGGAGGGAGAAGCTGTACGTGGATCCGCCGCTGCTCTTCCGCCTGAGCGAGGAATTGTTCCTGAGGTTGCCGTTGAGGACCTCGTGATGAGAGTCGTTGCCGAGACTGATGCGGTGGTCGTACACGCTGGCGGGCCGGGCGCTGCCGCTGCTGTTGCGCTTGACCTCCGCCCCCGAGGCGTAGATCATCTTGGGTCGCCGCCCCTGATCGAAGCCGTGGATGTCGCTGGTTGCCATGGTTTTGAAATGTCTTTTCCTGAGTTCGATGAGAACCACGTCCCTAGCGTCTGTCTGGGTCTGCATGGTTACCGTTCTTTGATCAAATCCTACGGTAAAATAAAAACCTTAACTTCTTGTAAGGGTTCAATTTATCAAATTAATTTGTCTTGTTGTTTGCTTGTTGTTGTTTTGTTTGTTTTGTTTTTTTCAATTTTTTAATCCCGTAAACTTTTCTGGCTACTTTTATTAAAGTTCATTCAATATTCATAAACTTCACTGCATATTTTTTTTAATGACCACTTTAATTCTTCTGATCAAGAAATATAAATCCAATCCATGTTTTCCAATCCAACATCTTAGCTCACAATGACGTCACTAACAATCTTGACGTGCCCAAAGTCTTTCACTAAAACCGGGTTAACCAGTCCCAATTTTTTTTTTCACGTTAGCCCATAGTTAAATCATTCTAAATTTGTCTTTCTCTGATCCTCCTTGTGTACCTTGATACAATCCATTCTCGGCAATTATCCCTTTCTTTACACCTGTAGAAATTTTTTAAAAAGTATTTTTAAATATTTAAAATTAGCGAAACAAAAAAAAGAAATCCTTTGTAAATCTTTCAAAAGAAAACATAAATTAATATCCTTAAAAAATAACTTGTTTATTTCCTATCTCTGAATTCATTTTTTTTCTCATCTTCTGCTTCAATGAATTGGTAAACACAGACCTACATCTCCCTACACCCCCACATTTCTCGCCCCCTCCCTCTAAGGTTTCTTCCCTTTTAATTATTATTCTGTGCAGGGGGTAAAGACAAATAGGCAACTGTGGTACTTCTCTCTGTCAGGTCGGCCTGACATTTTAGATAGGTGTCAGTTTGCTTTTGACAGAGGACAAATGTTTCAGCACACGGCGTATTGAAATAGCCTGGTGAGGAGGCGGGGGAGGGGTGAAGTGAAAAAAAAAGGGGGGGGGTAACAGAGTTTGGTGCCTGTGGTGGGAGATGTGGTGTGGCTAATGGTGTTGTGGCCAGTGATGTGTGGTTGATAATGTTGTGCCAAATGAATTTGTGATTAAAGTTGTCGCACATACTGTTGTGATTTATGACTTTGCGAATACTGTTATGAATAAAGATGTTAAGACAAGTTTTGTTTTAAGTATATTGTGCCAAGTGGTGGTGTGATTATCGATGTTGTAGCAAAGCAATTCTATTTTTAATATGACTAAAAACGCTGTTATTATTAAATACTGGGTGATTGTGATTTGACAGAGTATTTGTTGATCTAGCAACTGATGTTGTTGTAACAGTTGTTGTTGATGATGTTGTTGTCGGGACAGAAAATGTTAATTTTTCACATGATGTTGTTGTAACAGATAATGTTGTTGTTGTAACAGATAATGTTGTTGATGTGACAGATGATGTTGATGCGACAAACGATGTTGATGTGACAAATGATGTTGATGTGATAGATGATGTTGATGTGCCAAATGATGTTGATGTGACAAATGATGTTGATGTGACAAATGATGTTGTGGCAGTAACCATGCATGAGATGAACTTTGTCTGGTTCAACAGGTTGACGTCAGGTGTGTCAGGGATCAGAAAACTAAACCAGCCGTGGTGAAGGAATTGTTGTAGTTCACAATGCATGCTGTACAGCTGTTATCAACAATAACAATCAGTTATCAGAAGTTTGAACGCAATGTCTAAAGCAGGGGTTCCCAACCTTTTTTTTACTCTAGAGCACATTCTAAAATATCGGTAGGGTGGCGGGCACCACCTATTTTAAATCGACAAACTCCTTCCAGAGGCGTAGCGACCCTTCCCGTCACCCGGGGACAAAACTTTCGATTTGCACCCCCTCTCAAACTTTCGATTTGCACCCCCCTCAAATTTGCACTAAATTTTGTCACAAAATTTTGCACTACCCCCCCCCCCCCTCAAATTTTCGATTTGCATCCCCCCCCCCTCAAACTATCGATTTCCATCCCCTTCAACCTTTCAATAATGTTTATGAAAAAAATTCTGTCTCTGTCGAATAGTGGGAGACGGGTACATACGAATCGTTCGGCGGGCGCCATGGCGCACGCGGGCACGGGGTTGGGAACCCCTGGTCTAAAGTATAGCACGGTTGTCGTTCTTGACCGTTCAACGCCTAAATTTTTTTTCTTATAACTGATATTGAATAACACGCTTAGTTTCTGTCGCATTACATAAACAAGGGGCTTTCAACTAAATTCAGTTGGACTCTACAATACAAATAAATTTTTTTCTAATTTTAGTTTATACGTTAACTTTCCATAATTTAAATATTGTTTTATTTTGTTTACGTCAAATAATTTATTTTCTATATCATCTCTGATGTAGACCGGCCTATTAAGTAAAGGGCGACAACCAATAAAAACTCTAGTCCTAGGCAACAGCAGAACAACACAAGCACACCATTCAGCCAAGTTTAACGAAACATTCAAGGCACGTTTACATTTGAAAACGTTGTTAACTATGCCCTATTCAAGTTATATCATTATTATAATAACAAAAGCGCCATCTCGTATTTCTTAAAGCATATTAAAAATATTTCAAACGCCCACACGTTTTTTCAACTGTCGTCCACAAAACTCAAACGTTGAATAATATTTAAGTCTATTGAGACTAAACGGCCATATTGAAAACGTCATCGCAATGTGCTCGTGATCCAACCAAGAGATTACACGTCACGTTTGATTGATCTCTGTTCGATGCACATGTTTTTAATTAATCGCTAATTACACGACGTAATTGGAGCAGCTGTTTCGAATGTCAACAGCGTCGAGGTCACGTGACCCACTTGTGTGGAGGATAGTACGGGGGGGGGGCGATTAAAATGTCAACACGACAAGATCTATGACCCCCCCCAGGACATACCTACATTTCTTATCACCCACTCTCCACCCTACCCCCCTCACGCCTTACCTACACGTCTTATCACCCCCCCCCCCCTCCTTACAACCCCCACCCCACGCCCTACCTGCACTTCTTATCTCCCCTCCCACTCCTCACCCCCCCCCCCCCCCACCCCCACTTCTCCTCGCCCACATGAAGATTGAACCACTTGTAAACACAGAAGTCAACTATATAGATTATTATAAACGTCACGATTCTTGGTTGCCAGATTAAAACTTCCAGAGATACAATTATTGAAATGTAACAGCATGCCGCACGAAATACTGGAATTGGAAAATTCCGGGAGGGAGTTAAAACTATTATACTGGCATATGACCGATAAGGAAATAAAAACAAAAGTTGCATCTTTAAAAAATCACTCGGCTTCATAGTTGTTGTTTTTTCGTTGTTGTTTTTTTTTAATTCATAAACTGTACTTTTTGGGAGCAAAGATGAAGAAGTGGAGAGAAGGGTTTGGATTACATATTTCCCTAATATATTTTATTTCGTCATATAACTTAAAATTAAAAACGACTTTTATACACATGTGTCTGACCATCAACCCAATTAAGTGATAGTACACATATATCAACACAAACTAATTAGGACCCGTCTTCTACCATATTTAAAGTTACATAACACCTCCATAGATTACCATTTATGTTATGCATTTTATCTCGGAACCACCTCCCCCCTTTTAACCACAGAAAACGACACAATTATATTGCATTATAACACCCTCCTACGCCATTTAAAACTTTTTTAAAAAATTTAAAACCACCCTTTACCCTCCTCCTCTATATTACCATACTTTCCTCTGGTGTCTAAGCCACATGGAGTTATTCGTGTGATGACCTACATCAGGGGCCTATATGTACAATCCCTAACATATAACTTATTCATTGATGTCAGTTAAAGACATACATTTCAAGGGGTTAGCTATTTATCGATTTACGACGGGAACTTTAAACTCTGTGTGGGCGCCATTGGTAAACAGTAGTAGGAGGTGCGACAAGGGGTGGCGCTACCCCTCTCGTCTGCTGAACGTGCAGCTCCACACAGTCGTCTGATAACTCCTGAATACCAGGTGTGACAAACGTGTCAATAAATTGTCTGGAATTTGCTAGACTATGACGTCATATTAGAATGTATTTTGACATGATATGGCAAAGGGGGGATAAGCGAAACCATACCGCGTTTTGTTATGCAAATACGGGATGTGTTATGATTAGTGGACGAGTCTATTTTAAGAAAGCGGTAGG